TCAGAGCGCGCCCCACTGTGTCGCCCCCAGACCCAGCGTCCACGGGCAGCCAGTGAGGCCGGCGGCCGCGTCCTTGTCATGACTGCGGTGGCCACGTCATCCACGGCACCGTGCGGGCAGGAAATGCTGTTTCTGCTTCTCCACGCTGGCCCCACGCCCTCTGTGCCCACCGCCAGGTCTGGGCTTTCTGGGCAGCTCTGGGGCTCCCGGCCCGTCTCTGCCCCCTCCACGTGTCTCCATAAGTGGCTTCAACACCCGAGCAGCGGCCTGCGCGTAAAAGCCCCCCAGGGCGGGTGCCACCCCGAGAGGCTTGAGGCCCGGCCTGTGCCCATATTGTGAGACAGGGACGAGGAGCTGCCCCACAGGCACCCGGGCAGCATGTGACCCAGGGAGCCCCTGCGGGGTGCGGGCTCCTACTGAGGGGCCCCGGCCCCACGCCCTGCCTGGCGCCCTGCTGTGCCGGCTCCATCCCCAGGGGCAAGACAGCCACCCAGAGGCTACAGGGGGTACACACTGTTCTCAGGCACGGGGGGTGGACTCCCCACTGGGAGCACCCCCAAACCAGAGCCCCTGGACCGAGAGAGCACCAAGGCATCTCCCGGGACCCCGCGGGGTGAGCGCAGGCCTCTCCCCAGCCCAGAGACTGCGGTGTCTCCAGGCACTGGGCCCTGTCCGTCTGGACGCAGCCCAGGTACCAGCCAGCCCCAGCTTCTGCCCCCCACTCCCCGCCGCCCCAGGGCCACCTTCCCCATGAGGAGCAGTGCCTGCCCCACAAGCAGTCTCCTGTCAGGAGAAGGACAAGGCAGCGGGGGTCAGCTCGGCCTCAGGCACCCACCACACCTCCCGCTGGGTCCAGGGGGTCGCAACGGGGCTGCCAGTGCACCGGCCACTTGGTCCACCTCCAGAGGTGTGTGCAGACTGTCCTGCAGGAGTCGTTAGGGCCCCCTCACCCCTCGAGACCCCCTCATGCCTCACCCCTAGGAGGGTCTCGCAGCAAGCAGTGGCGTGAATCAGCCCCGGGCAGTGGGGAGGTGGCCGCGGCTGCAGACATCACTGCGCATTTCTCCTTCTCCGGGGAGGAAGGTGGGGCTTGGCGAGCTATTTTTAGATCCATCTCATTAATAATTTACCTGTTTGCAGTGGCCGCGCCTGCCGGCGTGCGGGAGACCCGCGCTCACCCAGTACAGTGACCGTCTGTCCCGGCGGCCATGTTGTCCAGCAGCCTCGGAGGGAGGCGGGAGGTGAGGAGCCGACCTCACCGAGAGCAGGGTCATTGCCAGGCTGGGGTGTCGAGACCCCATCCTGGTGCAAAGGGGAGCTGGAGGAGGGTCAGCAGCCCACACCCAGCCCTCCCCCATCTCGTGGGGCAGAGCCAGCCCCACGCCCTCGGGGCCCCCAGCTGGGCCAGGACCCGCTCAGGCGGCCTCTCCAGAGGCCCCTCCACCACCTCCCGCCCAGAGGCCTGGCCCTGCAGAAAGGACAGCGTGGGGGGCGCTGTCTGTGCAGGGCGGGCAGGCCCCAATGCCCTCATCGGCGTGGACAGAGGGCCACGGGAAGGGGCCAGTCACCCCAAAGTCCTGCTCTCAGCCCCACGCGCCACGAGAGTCGGATTTTAAAAGAAAACTGCCCGTCTGAGTCCTGGGCTGCAGGGCGGACGCGCCCGTCTGGGTCCTGGGCTACGGGGTGGGCACACCTGCCTTCCCTGGGGGACCTGGGCAGGGCAGGGGCGGGCGTCAGCTGAGGGGGTCAGGGCTTCCTGCTAGACAGAGAAGTGGCTGCGGGCAGCTGGAGACCCCCGGGGGCTCCAGGAAGGGTGCAGTCTGCTCCGGCTCAACGCTGCCCGAGGAGAGGGGCCGACGTGCTCAGGGTCCCCGTGGGAGGGGTGCTCGGTCCTCGGGACTTAGGCCGTCGCTGGAAGCGCCACGCGGGGCAGGGGCCCTCAGCGGCCAGAGCGGCCGCGGCCCAGAGGCTGGCTGGGCAGCGGAGCGGGTGGCGGGCGCGCGCGTGTGAAGCGGAGCCATGCGGCAGCACACGGGGCCTGACGCACGACTTGAGCGTGTCTTGCTCAAAGGGCCTCCCCGGGGTCTGTGCAGGGCGGGCAGGCCTCGCGGCCCCAGCCCTTGCCTGACAGACCCCTCGGCTTCCGAGCAGGAGTCAGGGCGGCGATTCTGCCAGTCCAGGCGCCGCGAGGCAGGGCCTCGTCCGTCCAGCACGAACGGGGCTGCGTCTCCCTCCCGCCGCTGGCCGCCCCCCACGCGCTGGGAACCAGCCTCCCGCCCGCCACTCAGCACCCCGGGCTGTGCTCCAGTTTCAAGCTCACTCAGTGAGGCAGAGCCCCTGCCCGCAGCCCTTCCCGCGGGCCCGGCCGGCCAGGCAGCGCCGGGGAGCTCGGCCGCCGGGCACAGAAGTTATTTTAATGCAGACGTCGCTTTAAACTGCCCTTTGCCGTCTGCACTGCCCACAAGAGCACGCGCGCGGGCGCGGCGCGTGCAAGAGGGGAGGCGGGTGGGCACGCCTGTCCCCCGCAGCCCTCGCGGCCCTACTGTGTGCTGCCCTCGCGGCCCTACTGTGCGCCCCCCGCGCTTTCCTGCTTTCCCAGACGCGACTCCAGGGCCAGGGCCGCCCTGACCCGCGAGCCTGCACAGCATTTGGAGCCAGCGCAGGTCCCGGCTCCAGACGGTGACCGCGGGGCCTCGCAGCAGCGGGCGCGCCCTCGCCAGGGACCGACAGCCGGGGGCGCGGCCGCGCGGGGCGATGCGAGGTCCCTGCAGAAGGAATAAAATCTGTAAATAGGTGATGGCTTCTTTTCAGCAGCTTCACGATTCAGTCTCCCGTGAAAAAAATGCAAGTCTGGGTGGAAGGAGGAGCAGAGAGCCCGGTCTCCGCCCACTGCGCGCGCGTCCTCCTGCAGGCGTCCTGGCCCCCCCAGCCTGCGCTGGCGCCGCCCCCTGACTCTAGCCCCTTCCCACGCTGGCGGGAGCGGAACTGGTGTGGCCTGAGCCGCAGGCCTGCAGGTTGTACACTCATCGCTCAGTTCCCTTCTCTCACCTGTGTGCCTGCTCTGATAACACCCCCAGCGCCAGGGACACCCCAGCACCTCCAGCGCCCACACCCCCAGCGCTGCCCCCCGTGCCGGCCCCCCCAGCACTGGCCCCCAGTGTCACCCCACCCCGTGCCCACCCCCCAGCGCCGCCCCCCGTGCCTTGCCCCACACCGAGTCCAGAATAAGTGGCAGGTGGGGGCCTTGTCTCTCCAGTCTAGACCGGCCAGCTTTGCCATCTCCCTGTGACCAGCTCTGTGGGTGCAGAAGAGACGCTCTCAGCCACAGCCCCCAGGGAGCAGCCAGGCCGCCAGGGAGAAAGCCCACCTGCTTGGCCTTGTACCCTCAGCGCACATGGTCGCCGCTGCCCGGCCGGAGCACAGTCCTTGTCGGACCTTCCTTGGTGGGGGAGGGGGCTCCCCAGCCAGGTCTGCTGCCCGCGGGAGGCGGGAGCCAGGCTGGGCGGACAGGCTGGGCTGAGCACAGGCTGGGCGCCTTGTGCCCGGTCAGGCGGTCACCGCCTGAGACTCCGCTGGCGCCGCGCGGGGGTGAGCGCAGGTGTGCACAAATATTTAAAATCACATGAAAACACAAGCCTGTTTCCCCTCCGGGGTCTCTTCTGGAGCCCCGGCGCTCTCGTGCCCACGTCCGTGCCAGGCCGAGCGGCTCCCGGGCCCCGGGCTGCCTTGTCTTCGGCGGGGCCCGTCGCGGCTGGAGGTGGCTCCCCCTCGGCCAGACTCCTTGGGTTTCCCAGGCTCGGTGCCGTCATCCTTTCAAACACCCTCTAGATGCAGTTTTGGGTCTTGTTTGGTCCCAGCAGTTATTTCAGAATGTTTTTTAAAATTACTGAAAGGTCTTTTTTTTAATGCTTTCGCATTAAATTTTCACTGCGCGTTCTAATAAAAGACAGCGGCCGACTCCGCGTGGGAGGGACTGGCCACTTCATCACGAGAGGTGGCCACGGGCCCCTCAGCGCTGGTTTTCCACAACCCGTCTGCCTCTCCAGGACGGCTGGGGGAGCCTGGCTTCAGTTGGTGGCTGTCCCCCACTGTCCCCATCATGTCCCCCTGCTGTCCCCATCATGCCCCCCCTGCTGTCCCCATCATGTCCCCCCGCTGTCCCCATCATGCCCCACCGCTGTCCCCATCATGTCCCTCTGTTGTCCCCATCATGTCCCCCTGCTGTCCCCATCATGCCCCACCACTGTCCCCATCATGTCCCCCCTGCTATCCCAGCTCGAGACTCTTGCCTGGTCTAGGTGACAGTCCTGCTCTTGTCCTCCGCCGGGCCAGGCCGTGTGTTCCTGGACTTGGTTGACCCCCCCACTGGTGCCATCTCGCTGCCCCGCCCGGGCTGCCTACTGCTCGGGCTCCCGACCGGCCGCACACTCCCTGCAGTGGACGCTGCTCCGAGCCAGGTTGTGCGGGCTCAGGTCTCCCCGCGTGGACAGCACTGGCGGTGTTCGGGGTCAGCACACGCTGGCGCCCGGCCCTCACCCGCAGGAAGGCGGGGCTTTCTCCTGGGGTGTCAAAACGTCTGCTGGCTTCAAGCAAGGATAAAAACCAGGAGCACAAGGGGCCTCACCCTCCATTTTCCCTTCAGATTCCCGTGGGGGCTGCTCTGCACTCTGGCCGCCGCCTCCCCGGGCCGAGGGCCCGCTGGGAGCACTGTGTCGGGCCTGACATCCTGCCCGGAGCACCGTGGCCTCTGCGGGTCCCTGCTCCCTGCGGGCCTGTCCACTTGGCCTCGCCCCTCCCTGGCCCCGACGCATCCCTGCCCGCCGCCGCCCTTCCTGCTCCCAAGCCAAGCAGGCATCGCCGGGCCCCAGAGGCCGCCAGACGCTGAGCGCGGGCACCCGGCGGGCCAGAGGGCGAGTGTGGGCACCCGGCGCGGCCCTGCCGCAGGCTGACCCCTGCCCCTTGCAGATCCGGTCCGACAAGGACAACGATATCCCCATCCGGTACAGCATCACGGGCGTGGGCGCCGACCAGCCCCCCATGGAGGTCTTCAGCATCGACTCCATGTCCGGCCGGATGTACGTCACGCGGCCCATGGACCGGGAGGAGCGCGCCTCCTACCACGTGAGTGTGGGCCCAGCGGCTCCCTGAGCAGCCGCCGCACCCGCCGCCTGAGCCCGCCGGGCTGAGCAGGCCCCCAGGGCTGGGGTTGGGGGTGCTGTTGGGGGGGCTGCAGAATCTGCAACTTAGCACATTCCTGGGGATGCCCGTGTGGCCCAGGCCCTCCCACTCAGCTCTGCCCCTTCTCCTGCCGCCCAGGGCCCGTCCTCCCAGCAAGCCCTGCTCCGCCCCGGAGGCGCCCTGCAGCGTGCTGGCCCCAGGCACCGCGCGTGGGAGGGCTCGAGGGGCAGCCCCGCTCCTGGCCTGTCTGCCCTGCAGCCCCCACTGGCCTCGGTAGCCGGGACGTGCCTGGCCTGTGTTGGCCCAACGCAGGCAGCTGGGCTGCTGGCTCCTGGGGGCAGTTTCAGGGGTGCCTTCGCCCTGGAGGGGCCCTCGGGGGACCTCCTCCCCGTGACAACCCGCCGCAGGACCCCGTGAACGGAGGCATGGAGGTTCTTCTGGACACCAAGCCCTTGGCCAGGGCCCCGCCCCTTCCCTACCCCACTCCCCGCCCTCCTCCCGCCCCTGCCGCCGGCCCCCCAGGACCCTTCCAGAGTGCGTCCTTCAATGTGCGGGCTCCAGAGGGTGAGCAGCCGGAGCCCGGTGACCCTTCACGGAGTGAGTGGGGAGAGGAGCGAGCAGGGCAGTCCTCCCTGCACCAGCAGCGCTGCCAGGGCCCTGCCCGTCCCCCAGCCCCACCCCAGGGGTCTCCATCCGCGCAGCCGCCCCCGCCATGGCCCCTGGGCGCTCGGCCCTGCGCATCCCCTTCCAGGACATTGGGCGCCGGCTCTGATGTCCGGCCGGTTCAGAGCGCCCTGCTCTGCCCGGCCCGGGTGACCACGCCGCCCCTGCCTGGTGTGTCCCGGGCTCCCCGTTTCCGAGGCTGCTTCCCACACCTGGGGGTTGCTGTGGCCCAGGAGCCCCCATGGCCCCCGCGCAGGCGGCTCTCGGGCCTTGGTCTCAGGGGCTCAAGACCACCCACGCGCCGGCCGCTTCCCTGGCCCCAGCCCGGTGCTCCCCCCTCAGCGCTGCGGGCCACGCGCTCCAGGCCCAGGGCTGCCGGCCCCACGCGCTCCAGGCCCAGGGCTGCCGGCCCGGGGTGTCCACGCGCTCCAGGCCCAGGGCTGCCGGCCCGGGGTGTCCACGCGCTCCAGGCCCAGGGCTGCCGGCCCGGGGTGTCCACGCGCTCCAGGCCCAGGGCTGCCGGCCCGGGGTGTCCACGCGCTCCAGGCCCAGGGCTGCCGGCCCGGGGTGTCCACGCGCTCCAGGCCCAGGGCTGCCGGCCCGGGGTGTCCGAGGTGCCGGGGCGGTAGGTGGGCCAGTGAGAGGAAAGCAGGGGGAGGGAGGGAGGAGCAGAAGGAAGGAGAGGGACACAAAATCGGGGCGTGAAGCCCCTGGAACATTCCAGTCCCGTCCCTTCCCTTCGTACCTTGAAAACACCCCGAAGTTCCTGGAGCCCCTTTCCAGCAGGACAGAGGGGCCTTGGCTCCCAGGCCCCAGTTTCCATGGCGCCCCAAGAACAGACAAAGGTTGGGCTGCACTGGGCACCCCATGAACCCCAGCCCCCCCAAGTTCAAGGCCCCCATGGGTCCCTACCTTAGGCTCCCGTCGGGGCCCCCACCCCCTCTGGGCACAAGCGGCCGCTGCAGGTGGCCATGGCCCCCGTGGTCAGTGGCAGCGCATGGTCCGAGCCGGCTGGGGGTCCTGGGTGGGCGGCGCGGGCTCCCTGGGCTTCCGGCTGCCAGGCGCCCCTTTTGTGCCCCCAGAGCCCTCCCCATTTCCACTGAGGCGCAGCCCCCCACGCCCCAGCCTGCCCCGGAGCCCAGGGCCGTCAAGTCCGGGTGCTGCGGCCGGCGTGGGCCTCGGCCCGCGGGCTCTGACCGTCCGCGTCCCCTCGCAGCTCCGAGCCCACGCCGTGGACATGAACGGCAACAAGGTGGAGAACCCCATCGACCTGTACATCTACGTCATCGACATGAACGACAACCGGCCCGACTTCGCCAACCAGGTCTACAACGGCTCGGTGGACGAGGGCTCCAAGCCAGGTGAGCCCCGCGCCGCCCCGGCCGCCGCTCACTTGCGAGTGTGTGGGGGAGACCAGCCTGCGCCCCCCTCTGCCGCCATCCCGCTGGGCCCCATCCCCGTCTTCAGCTGAGAAGCCAAGAACCAAGGGTGCGGCGTCCGCGCTCATGGCACCGGGCGCCCGTCTGGGCCGGCGCCCCCGCCCCGGGGAACAGACCTGCCACCTCCGGGCCTTGCAGGTGCCGCGCCCCAGCCCGGGTGCCCCCACCCCACGTGGCTGCGCCTCTTCCTCCTGCAGCCCCCACGTCTCCTCTGCCAGGCCGTCCTCCCTGCCCCTCCCGCAGCCCCGCCCCCGGGGTCCTGGATCCTTCCCACCAGTCTGCTTCTGGGGCCCCGCCCTGCGGGCAGACGGTCTCCTTCACCACCAAGTGCTGCGCGGGCACAGGATCCTGGGAAGACACCCCCAGCCTGGCCCCCCAAGGGACTCAGCGGGCTGGGAAACCCAGCGGACGGCGGGCCGGGGTCCCACCTGCCGGCCCGGAGCCGCACACGCCCCGCCACACCCCAGCACCCCGGCTTTCGGGACACGGGTCCCAGGGCTCGGCATCGAGCTGCCCAATGACCTCATGGCGGGACCGCCCGCCTCCCCTGCACCCCGCCCAGCCAGAGCCCCCGGCCAGGGTCCGCGCGTTGCCCCAGCCCCGGCGAAAGAAGCCCAGGGCTGGTTCCTCTGCACGAAAGCAGCGCCCGGGGCAGGCCTGCTCCCCGAGGCCTCCTGGCGCGGGGTGGCCCGTCCTCTTCGGGAGGGGCGTGACTTCGAGCGCTCAAGGCAGGAGGCGCCGCGCTGCGAGGACGTCCGGGGCCCTCCTGGACCCGACCCCCTGCGCCACCGCCGTCGTGGCCGCTCGCATGTTTATTTTATTTCTGAGCCGGAGGAGGAGCCTCGAGGGTGAGGCCGCGGCCGGATGCGCGGTGCGCGGCCCCTCGAGAGTCATCTGCGTCCTGAGAACTTAAACCGTAGCCTCAGTGATTTGGGCAGAAAGCCAATTATGGGGCTGAATTAGTTTTCAAATTAAACTGCAATTGAAGCTTGTGAAATTAATCCTGCAGGCGCGAGGCAGTTTGTACAGGGGTTCCGAGGGGGGCCGAGGCCCGGCGCCCCCGGCAGCCTCACCTGCGGGCGCTAATAAAGGGGCGCAGCAGGCAGCACCCCTTTCGGACGGACGCCTCAGCAGACGCCAGGGAGGAAACTCAGCCCCGATGTCAGTTCCTTTGCTGAAAGAGCTCAGATGCTTGTTCTGGGGGCGGCCCAGGAAGGAGCCGCCCCACGTCCTCTGAGAGCTGACGGGGTGCTGACCCCACATTGGACGCCGTGGCGGCGCCCAGTTCTCTCTGCCGGCGCAGGCAGATGAGGACCCTGGCTCCCCGGGAGCCCGCAGACCCTCCTGTGGGGACAGCAGCAGCTCAGCTACTGCCCACGAGGTCAGCCGGGCCCGGCCTTCCCTGGGAAGGAGCCTCTGGTGGGACCCACAGAGGGGCTGGTGGTGTCTGTCCTGGGGGTGGGGAGCAGCAGCGCCCGGGCACACAGTTTGTGTCTGAGCTGCCTCCTCTCTCGTAGGCACCTACGTGATGACAGTGACGGCCAACGACGCTGACGACGGCACCACGGCCAATGGGATGGTGCGGTACCGGATCGTGACCCAGACTCCGCAGAGCCCGTCCCAGAACATGTTCACCATCAACAGCGAGACCGGGGACATCGTGACGGTGGCGGCTGGCCTGGACCGCGAGGTAGGGGGCGCCCGGCCGGGAGCGGGGCTGGCCCTAGAGCCTGTGGGGAGGCTGGTCCCAGGCCCGCGGTGCGCCCTGCGTCCCGCTCCATGAGGGCAGGGCCCTGGGATGCCGCCCCCCGTGGTGCACTGGGTGACGGGCTGGGGGCGGGGCAGAGCCCCGGGGATCTCAGCGGGGCCTGCCCAGGCAGACGGGCCCTGCCGTGGGGGTGGGTTGTGCGCTCGCTGCCCGGCCCGGCTCAGAGGTGGCTGCGGGGCAGCTGGGGAGGGGCCCTCGGCCACGAGCGCGAGCCCCAGGGGAGGGTCGCGGGTAACGCCCCACAAACCAGACGCAGCCCTGGGGAGCAAGGGCTCCAGGCGGCCCCGCCGTCGGGGTTTCACGCCCTGGGAGGGCAGCGTGGCGGGACGGCTGCGTGCACTCGCCCTGCACACACGGGGCCGGCCGTGGCCCGGGCAGCTCGGGCAGGGAGCGGGGCGGGCGTGCTCGTGGGTGCGGCCGCCTGGCCTGGCCGGGTTGGGAGGGACCCCAGTGCTCGGGCCGGGCCGCTGCTCGTGGCCCGTGAGGCAGGCAGCACCAGGGCGGGAGACCCTGTCAGCTCGTCGCCGCAGCCCGCGGGCGCACAGAGCGGGTGGGCGGTGCCCGAGGCCTGGCTGGGAAGCTCATCCGGGAGGCCCGGGGCCCCGGTCCTGCGAGCCCCGTGGACGTGCGTCCAGAGTCGAGCTGCGCCTGGCCCGTGCCTGGCTGGCGGCTGCCCTGCCCGTCGCTGGCGCACTGAGGCGGGAGCCCTCCGGCCGGAAAGGGAGCGGCAGCCGCGGGGGGGCTTGCCGTGGGGAGCGGAGTCTTGTGTTTCCAGCAGGTTCGGCCCAGCAGCCTCCACTTAAGGTCCCGAACCGACAGCTTTGGGAGTGGGAGCCTGGGGGCAGGCAACTCGGGGTGAACTGTTCAACAGCAGCGCCTCGCGCCCCGAGTCTGGGGGCCCCAGAGCCGCTCCTGGCTGCCGCGGGGCCCGCCCCTCCCGGGCGCAGCCTGCGTGCTGAGCGCCAGCTCCCGGCCAGCCCCCGCCGGCCAGCTCTCCCCGGCCGGCTCCCCCGCCGGCTCTCCCCGGCCATGGCTCACCAGCCGCGCAGGCGGCAGACGCCCCCCTCCTCCTAAGAGCCCGGCCCTCGCCACGCACACGCTGAGGGGTGGTATCTGGGGAACGCAGACACCCCTCTCCAGACCCCAACGAGCCGTCTTCGGGAGGGGAAAACCCACAAGCACAACTGCCACGTGTCTAACCAGGCAGCGCTGTGTGAACTGCGCGATCCCACACGATGAGATGTCAGGGGAGACTCGGGTAAGACCCCGGCTGTGTCTCTCGGCCGGCGGCGACGCCCTCCCTCAGCCTGTCCCCGTCGCCTGCTTCCTCATTAGTCTTCACGGCCTAACAAGGGGGCGTCGGCTCCGCGCTGAAGGTGACCCGGGCTGCCGGGCACGCGCCCCGCTCCGCGCCTGTGCGGGGTCAGCGCCGGCCCCGGCCCCCTGAGCTCTGGACCCCGCGGGGAGCCCTTTCGCTACAGGACACCCACAGACACAACACGTGGGGCAGAAAATCCTAACGAGGTGCGAGGAGAGGGTGGTGCCCCCTGCGCCGCCGGGCTGGACACAGGCAGCGCCTCCCCAGCACCCACGCTGCGCTGACCCCGCCGCTGTTCTGCGGCTCGTGGGGCTGCGGGGCCACTTCACAAGCTCCCACTGTGAGCCCGGCGTCCAGAGCCCACACTGAGCCGCCGCCCTCGGCCAAGAGACTGAGCCCGATGGGCCCGACAGGATGGGGACCCCAGGCCTCAGACACCCCAACCTCCCATCGCCCCCCTGCTGCCCCTCTGGGTTGACCTGGCTGCCGCTCAGTCCTGGGTGCCGGAGGTTGAGCTGTGCTGCACCCCGATTTCCGGGTGGGCACAGCTCAGGGGAGCGGATCTGGGGCGCAGGGGGCAGGTCCGAGGGTAGAGGCCGGACCCAGCCTGCCCTGGCCGGGCACCTCGACCGGGTCACAAGCAGCCGCGGCCAGACGGGGCAGGGGGCAGGGGGGCAGGCGTGCGGTGCTGCCTTCTGGAGACGCACGGTTGCTTTATCTGGGCCAACATTTAAGCAGGAGTTTCTGTCCACAAATCCCATTTCTAGAGACTTAAGAGCCAGAGGCTCTAGTGTTGGGGCCCGCCTCCGCCGGGTGCCCATGCTGGCCTGTGCCTGGCAGGTCCAAGCCCCTCCCGCCACGGCCCGGGCACCAGGCCCCGGACCGGCTGGCCGGTCACTCAGCCGGTTCACAGAGCCCTGCGCCCACACCCCTGACCAATGCCCTGACCCTGTCACCCCAAGGCAAGCCTGGCCCCACCAGCACCCCATCCCCCCGCAGACTGGGCACCTCACGGGGGGCGCACACCCACACAGCTCCTCCCTGGGGCCAAGTGATGGCCCAACCCAGCAAGTGTCCGCCCCGCATGGTGGACAGACGCGCCGTGCAGTCCTTCGGGGTCGGGGGCTCGGACCCTGCCCTGCCTGTGGACAGAAGTCACCGGCCCAGGCGCCCGTCTCATGACAACCCCGCATGCGGCTCGGGGACCCTCAGCCTCCTCGGGTGTGGCACGCACGCAGGCGCTGCATGTGGATGGGCGCATGCGGCTTGAGCGCAGAGCTGTGGGGAGTGCGTGCAACCAGGGACGCGGCTCACGGCGTCCTTCCTCCACCGGAACTTGACACTGGCCAGGCCACATTTTGATGAATTCACTGCAGTCCACGGCCGGCCGGCCCGGCTCAGACGCCAGGGGGGCAGCTGGCGCCAGTGGGGGCGGCCCTGGGTATGCAGACCCGGCCCCGCAGCACCCTCTTTGGAGCCCGGGGGGTTCTATGCCAGCGCAGGCTGTCAGGGCACAGCCCGGCTCCTCCCCTGCCCTGGCAGGCCCAGGTGCACCACTCTGGGATCAGGGGGCCCTCTGGCCTCGCAAGGCCTCATGTCACCAGCGCCTCGCGGGCAGGCGTGACACCCACCACAGGGCTGGGGGCTCCCTCACGAGCCGCACCACCAATGGTGGCCCTTGGGACCAAGCACGGGGTCGGGGCTTTTAAACAAATGGTTCGGCCCCAGCCCAGCCTGGCGCCCCTGCTCAGCAGAGAGGGACAGACTGGAGACTGTGACCCTGTCCTCAGCCTCCGAATTCCAGTCCCGGGGACATCTGGCAGGGAGAGCACTGGCCGCAAGGCCGAGGAACACCTGCCAGGGGCCCAGGGCAGCCAGGGGCTCGGCCTCAGCCCCGTGACCACACGGGGACCCCACCAGGCCCCACCGGGCCCCCCAAGATGCCTCCCCTGCCGCTGGAATTCTCCCCCACCCACCCAGGGAAGACCCCCAGCTCCCCAAAGTAAGACCGGCCTGCCCTCTAGTGGCGGCCAGCCGCACACACATGAGCTCCCACACATCCGTGCACACACGACAGTGTGCGTGGGCCTGCGTGTGCGTGTGTGCGTGCATGCATTGGTGCGCTGCACCCGTGTCCATACACACGTGGGTGTGCATGAACACACGTGGTTACACGCACGTGTGTCCTGTGTCCAGCATGGACTGCTGCCCTCAGTGTCCCCTAGGGGTGCAGCAAGCCCCCGCGCCCTGGGGTCCACCCTGGGGACTAACAGGGTCTGCCCGTGCTCTCTGGGAAGCCACCCCCTCAGCTGCATGCAGCAGTGTGTCCGTGGCCCCAAGGAGGTGGGGCCTGCGCTGAGCTGGACGCCGACAAGGGCAGGAATGAGGCCCTCAGGGCCATCCCTCCCTCTCTGCAACCGTCCCTCTGGGCTCCCCGGGCTCCCCCTGCTGCCCTCGGCCCCTGCACCCCGTGACCCACATGCAGAGCCCCGGTGCCTGGACGAGACGGCCACCCCTCCCCACGGGCTGCACCCCGCCCGGTCAGAGGGGGCTGCGGCACGTGGCGCGCGGGCCGACAGCCAGTGCCCTGCTGCTGAGGACCCTCACCCCCACTCCGCTGGGGACACGCGCCCAAGTGTGGTGACGCCCGCTCTCACCCCCAGAAAGTACAGCAGTACACGGTGATCGTCCAGGCCACGGACATGGAGGGCAACCTCAACTATGGCCTCTCCAACACGGCCACGGCCATCGTCACGGTGACCGACGTCAACGACAACCCGCCCGAGTTCACGGCCAGCACGGTGGGTGGCGTGGCGGGGGCAGCCCGGGGCCGGGGGGCAGCCCGGGGCCGGAGCAGTGTCCGTGGCACCTCAGCCACTGTGGGGCCGTGTGCACAGGGCCCGCGGGCGCCCGGCTGGGGCAGTCGGCTGGAGGGGGCCAGGCCCTGCCCACAGGAGGGGGTGGGGAGCACGGAGAGGCCCACAAGCAGCGCTGCCCAGGACTGTGGCAGAGCCCTGGGGGCCGGACAAAGGGCGCTGCAGTCTTCGGAAGGCCGCACCCTCGTCCTCCCTCCGTGACGGACTCTGGCGTCCCCGGGGAGCCAGAGGCTCCCCACCATCTCCTCGGGCCCCCTAGGGGTGCCAACACCGCGGGCCGTGCCCCCTGCCTGTGGTGCCCCAGAAATGCGACAGGCTGCAGGGGTGGGCAGGGCGGGCCGAGGGGAGGGTCACAGAAGTCGAGGACCTCAGGGTCACCCCTGCATGCTGCCCCAGGGCCCCCGGGGCCAGGCCCTGGAGGACTGCGTTGGGTGAGCCCACGGCCTCGGTCCACATAGTACCGCGTCCAGCAGGGCGCCCCCAGCTGCAGCCTCCGCTGTGAGGGCACAGCGCCATCTAGTGGGCAGCTGGCGCGTGGCGGCAGGAGGCTGCAGCCCACCAGCCTGAGGGTGGCGGCTCTGGCGGCTCGGGGTTCCCTCCACGGGCAGGAAGGTCCCACCGGCCCCCGTCTCGGGAAATCTGGACACGCAGATGCAGCTGCGTCCCTGGGGTGCAGGGAGAATAATGACGCTGGACTCCCAGCCCCTGCCGGTCAGCCATGCCTGCCAGGAGACCCAGCTGCCCGCTCTGGGGGTGCAGGAGCACGTGGCCATGGACAAGGGCCCTGGGGAGGGGGCTGGCCTGGCTCGTCCCTCACGGTGCTCAGGGCTGAGTCAGGAGCCTTGGCCCACCCAGGGCAGATGGCCAGGTGAAGGACATCCTCCCAGGGACACTGTCCTGGCCAGCTGCTGACCACTGGGGCGCCAGCCCCCAGGTTTCCAAACCTGGGTAGGAGGGAGGCAGGCTGCTTGGTCCCCAGGGAGGACAGGATGAGGCTCCCCGGGAGGCCCCAGGTTCCTGGGGCTGCCGGGCTCAGAGGGCCTCCTGGTCAGTGCTGGTGGTATTGGGTTTGGTGGGGAAACAGGGGTTGCTGAGGGGGCTTTGTTGGGAGACAGGATGGACAGAACCCCCGGAAACTAGGGGCGCTCACCTCGGTGTCCCCATCTCTGCGCTGGCACTGAGTTCTGAAGCCCGCATGGCCGGGGCAGGTGGCCGCACTGGCCGGGCTGCAGGATGGCAGGGCCCGCGGGCACGGCAGTCAGGCCCTCCCCCCACCCCGGCACACCCAGGGGCTGGCTTAGGGGGAGGGGCCCCACCGGCACGTGGAGCCAGCGGGTTTCAGAGGGTCAGACGTGGAGCCACGGCTCTGGCCTGGCCCCCACAGGAGGTCCCCTGGGGGGTGCCCTCTGCTCCCGCCCCCCCAGTCTGGTTTCTGCTGCCTCTGGAGCCTCCCCCAGCAAGCTCTCTCCGCGCCCCCGTTGGTTTAATTCTTCTCTCCTTTTTAAAAGTTACTGCATTTCTGGCTGGGTGATTCACACCCAGAACCGTCTGGGAGGTGTGACCGCTGACCCCCGCCTGGCTGACCCCGGCCCGCTGACCCCTACCCGCTGACCCCCACCCACTGACCTCCGCCTGCTGACCCCCGCCTGCTGACCCCCACCCGCTGACCCCCGCCTGGCTGACCCCTACCCGCTGACCCCCACCCACTGACCTCCGCCTGCTGACCCCCGCCTGCTGACCCCCACCCGCTGACCCCCACCCGCTGACCCCCGCCTGGCTGACCCCGGCCCGCTGACCCCCACCCAGCCTCCACTGTAAGTCCTCTCCTCCCTGGCGATGCCGCTCGGGGCTCTCGGCGGCCACCCAGATGCACCGTCATCTAAGCAGAGCGCGGGAGAGGACCGGCTCTCAAAGGCCGGGTGTGCCGGGTGCGGAGGCTCCGCCTCCAACACAGGATGGGGCACGGCTCTGCCCCACTCCCGAAACACAGCTGGCCAGCGCTCTGCCTGGCAGGTCACTCAGAAGGCCCTGGCAAGCCCAGCAGCTTAGTCAGTGTCCACTACACTCACCCTGGCAGCTTCAATAAGAGAGAATTCATCTCACAGAAACTGAGAAGTCCTTGAAGGTGGACTTCAGGCACGGCTAGATCCAGGATTCAGCGGGTGATAGGACCCTCCCCTGTGCCGTAACTTCTGGGCTGGTTTTCTTCTCAGGCTGCACCCCCTGGGCCTCGTGACCAGACCTCAGCAAAGTCCCCTCAAAGTACCCCATCCCTCAAAGTACCCCATCCTCTGCCCAAAGCCAGGCTGCCCCGGACCCTACCTGGGCAGCAGCAGCTGTGGTGGGCCAGTGTTCCCCACCCCCACACTTCAGGACCCCAGTCAGGCAGGGCTCCCGGACCCTCAGCGCTGGCATGGACCGTCCCTGGAACGCGGCCTCGGCTCTCCCTCCAGTGGGTTCCGTTCCCCACACCGTGTCCGTGGCCCACACCGCCCCTAAACCCCCAAGGGCAGGGGCCTGTCTGCCTGCTCCCCCTGTGCCTCCAGGCCCGGCGGGGAAGCCTGCGGGGCTCCGGCACCCCCGGCAGATGATGCACCCGCAGCCCCACCAAGCCCTCACCCACAAGAGCCCGGCTTCCCACAATGGGTCCTGAGAAGCCGGGTGGGGGGCTCGGGCCGGGGGTGCAGTTAGCACCAATAGACCCAGTTTCCAGTCAAACCTCAGTGGCTGGTTCTCGGGACTGACCAGACCCCAGCTCCTCTGCCAGCCCTGGGAAGTGTGTTGGGGGAGCACACGTGGTGCGGACGCGTGTGCGTGCGCGTGTGTGTGCAGGAAGGGCTGCTTTAGGCGCGGGTCTACGCGCGTCTGAGCCCCGGGCCTTGCGGGCCTCAGCTGGAGGTGCCAGAACCCTCTAGAGATGCCGCCATGGGCAGCGCGTGGGCCTGAAGCGGAGTGGGGGGCAGAGGGCCCCCAACCTCCCGAGCTGCCCCCCAGCGCCTCACGGGCTCTCTCCTGACCTGCACAGTACGCGGGGGAGGTCCCTGAAAACCGCGTGGAGACGGTGGTCGCAAACCTGACGGTGGTGGACCGAGACCAGCCGCACTCGCCCAACTGGAACGCGGTGTACCGCATCATCAGCGGGGACCCCTCGGGGCACTTCAGTGTCCGCACAGACCCCGTCACCAACGAGGGCATGGTCACCGTGGTGAAGGTGGGTGCTGCTCGCGTCGCCAGGCGCCGAGCTCGGCCCCGTCAGGTCCCCGGAGCCGCGGTCCCGGCGGCCGTCCCGCCTCGGTGTGCGAGACCGGGGGGCCCCCGCGGGGGACGCGCCGTGCCTCCCGGGGCCCCGCTCGCCCCCGTCTAGTAACCTGGGCTTCTCGGCTTAACCCGTCCTTGCGTTCCCGAGACGCACCCGGCTTCGCTGGGTTGGCCGCTCTCCGCACAGGGCAGCACGCGCGCCTCCTACCTGAAGACGCTCCCCGTCCCCGAGCAAGCGGGAGTGGCCGCCGCGCCCACGCGGTCTCGTCGGGCTCGGCCCTGGAGGTGACAGACCACACTGTTGGGGCAGGTGCCTCTTGTTTGGCTGCCCCAGACCAGCCGCGCCAGACGGAATTACCCAGCGCTGGCGTTGGGGGCGGGGCGGGGGCGGCGCCCCGGCAGGTGGCCGCAGGGTTCTCTGCGCGCTTGTCTTGGGGCGGGATAAATAGGGACCCGCCGGCGCAAGGTCTTCACTAACTGTGGTCACCGCGCTTCCCGAGAAGCGTGCTCCGTGTAAACGTGTTAGCTGACCTCCGCAAGCCTCCGGCACGGGGCCGTGAGCCATCTTCCCACCCGCCTCTCCCCACGCCCGCCGTCCACGTCCCCGGAAGGCAGGGCAGCAGCGGCGTGAGGCAGCATCGGTCACTGACAGCTTAGCGAGAAGCAGCCTCGTGGTCCTGGCTAAAGCACTGTGTGCCGGGGTAGCGCACGGGCGACGAAGGGAGGGCAAGAAAGGCAACTCACCGCCAGATGGCCCGTGTCAGGTGTAAGAAAAGCCACCTAGGACTCCCCCAGCACCCAAATTCCCAATTGTCTCCAAAATGTCTGTTTTTTATCAATGGATTCGTTCCGGGCCTCCTGGACCAAACCAGGCCAAGGGCCGCCGCTCCTTGTCCCGCTTCTGGGGCGTGCAATCCAGAACCGCCCCCAACACACAGTTGTCTCTATCGGTGCCCCTGACTCGCTGGAGAAGCCAAGTCTCCTGTCCTGTAGAATGTTCCAGAAAACTGATTTTTCTGTTTAAGTCCTGGTGCTGTCTGGTCTGTCCCTCTGTCCCGTCTTCCCGTTAACTGAAGGTCGGATCTGGGGCAGCATCGTGAGGGTCTGGCACCTGGGCTGGGCCGGGCCACGCCCTCCATGCTCGGGCAGTGGCCGCCTCACGCCATCGCCTGTGTCTCCGTGGCCCCCGCGCGTATCAGGGCCTGTCCTTGGACTGGGCAACCCCTTCCAGGCCTTTCATAGCCGCATCTGAAAGCCCCTGGTTCCAAATAAGGCCCCACTCGCCAGTCCCAGGGCATCTCTGTAGGAGACACCACGGCGCCCGGGCAAGGCGGCCAGACCGCAGGCCCCTCACCACGCTGGGTGCCGAGCGGAGCAGGAGCCAGCCGTGCGGGGGCTGCGGGGGGGCGCCCAGCGGACTCTATAGCCCCCAAGGAGCCCAGCTGCCCCCCACGCCCAGGGCGGAGGGCAGGGCGAGGCAGGACCACGACTCTCTCCTGTCGGCCAAACCCCAGCATGCAGGAGCTAAGGGAGCCTGCGGCATGGGATCTGCGGGGACCTGCCTCCTGGGCCGGGCACAGGGGTGCTGGAAGCTGGGTGGGGCGCCCTCCCCCTCCAAACGCTGCGGCTCAGGCAGGGCCTCGCTCCTCGCAGGCGGTCGACTACGAGCTGAACCGAGCCTTCATGCTGACCGTGATGGTGTCCAACCAGGCGCCGCTGGCCAGTGGCATCCAGATGTCCTTCCAGTCCACGGCAGGGGTGACCATCTCGGTCATGGACATCAACGAGGCCCCCTACTTCCCCTCCAACCACAAGCTGATCCGCCTGGAAGAGGGCGTGCCCCCCGGGACCGTGTTGACCACGTTCTCGGCAGTGGACCCCGACCGCTTCATGCAGCAGGCCGTGAGGTGGGGCCCAGCCGCAGGCTCCCCGCTTTCCAGGTGGAAGGGACCCGAGACGTCCAGCGAAATCCGCAGCCCAGGGAGTCCTGGGGGCGTGCATAAGGGCGCTCCCCAGGTCAGAGGAGCCACGGGGTCCCCCAGCCCACCGGGCGCAGGTGGTGAGCAAGGCCGCTGTGCAGCAGGGCCCGGGATCCTGGAGGTTCCCCGAAGAGGTGAAGGCTCGGACGCCCGCGCCAGCCGCCTCCCACCTGCTCCTGTTTCCCCACCGCGCCTGCCTCCTGGGGTCCCTGGCGGGGGGGCTGTCCAGCCGGGTGGTTGCAGACCCATGGGCACTGTCCCTCGGGGTGACCCAGAGCACCACCCCACCCCCAGGTACTCAAAGCTGTCGGACCCTGCGAGCTGGCTGCGCATCAACACCACCAGCGGGCAGGTCAGCACCGCGGCCGTGCTGGACCGCGAGTCTCTCTACGCCAAGAACAACGTCTACGAGGCCACCTTCCTGGCGGCCGACAACGGTGCGTGCCCGGCCCCGCCATGGGCCTGGGCTGGGGACATGAGGCCGTCTGGCACCGGAGCGGGGTGGGCAGCACGGGGGGGCCATATGGGCCCATGGCCCACGTCCCCAGCCTCCAGGGCCGTCCCTCTCCTGACCGCTGGTCCCTCCAGCCTGCACACTGGGCCACACGCCGCCGTGGGACGGGGCTGCTGCGTGCCCAGCCCGTCCACCGAGCCGCCGGGACAGCAGCTGGGCCCCTCTGCCCCATGAGGCCCCCCACACAGGGCCTTTTAGTGTGCGGCCCTCTCGAGGCCCCGCCCGGGCGCCCTCAGCAGAGCGAGGGCAGGCAGGTTGCTCAGCAGCCTCCAGAGCAGCCCCTGGTGCTCCTGGCGCCCCTGACCGCCCGTACGCAGCCCCATGGCCTGTGGTCACAGCGAAAGCGGGCCTGGGAGGGCCGGGCAGGGCCTGTGGGAAGGCGTGTGCCTGCCAATGAGAGGCGCGGCGGCGAGGGCCGGCACAGACTGGGAGCCGGAGAAGCGGGCGGAGAGGGGCCGGGGCCCCACGTGGGGCTGGGCTGGACGGGCTGAGAGGGGGAGCAGAGGCCAGTGGGGCTGGGCCCAGGGGTAGCCCACACCCTGCCGGCACTGAGCCCTGGGGCACCCACCCGCTCTGCAGAGGCTGGGGAAGGGCTAGCCGGGAGAGAAGAGTCCGGAAGCAGGGTCAGGGCCAGCGCACACCCCATGCTGGCGGAGCGCGGCCCAGGGCTCTGGGCGAAGCATGTGCTCCCTGCAGCCCAGGTCCGTAGAGCCTGTGTGGGCGCCGTGCGTGTGTGAGTGTGCAGCTGTGTGTGCGTATGTAAGTGTGCACGCGAGTGCCCTGAGTGTGCGCGTGGCTGGTCGCGGTGTGTGGGCATCTGTGCAGGGTCAGGGCTGCGCGGGCTGAGGGCCTCCCGGGGCTGTCGTGGTCCACCTGGGGGGCCGAGGGGCTCTGGCCTGTCCTGGGGGCTGTGGGCTGGCCGCAGCATCGCCTCGTGGTGAGGTCCCGATCCCCGGAGGTGACCCCGAGGTCCCGCCTGCCACAGGGATCCCCCCCGCCAGCGGCACCGGGACCCTGCAGATCTACCTCATCGACATCAACGACAACGCCCCCGAGCTGCTCCCCAAGGAGGCCCAGGTATGCGAGAGGCCGGGGCTGAACGTTGTCAACATCACCGCGGCCGACGCCGACATCGACCCCAACGTCGGCCCCTACGTCTTCGAGCTGCCCTTTGCCCCGGCCGCCGTGCGGAGGAACTGGACCATCGCGCGCCTGAGCGGTGAGCGCCGGGCGGCCTCTGTGGGCCGGGCGGGCCGGGGCTGCTCTGGGCACCCGCGGCACGGAGGCCGGGCAGCCCACGTGGGCTCTAGCCAGCGGGGTGTCGCGTCTCCTGCCACTGTAGAGCAGCTCCAGCGGGCCCTCGAGTCACATCGCCCCAAAACTACATTTCGCTGTAACAAGGATGAGCGGGGGGACCCTGCGACACTGGGTGCGGCTCCAGGCCGCCGGTCTCACTCCGTGTGGCCCCACTGGGGGTCGCAGCTTCGCGGTCGGTGCTCCAGGCCCGGGCACCCGTGGGGTTCAGGCAGGGCCAGAGGTCAGGGGAAGGGCCTGACCCCCCACGCCCTGCAGATGCCCCCACACGGGCCACGTGGCTCCCGCTTTCCCTGGAGGGACAGAGCAGCGTCTCCCCAGACCTCGCTGACACCAAACAGAATCGTCCAGAAGCACTTTTCCAACTTATGGCCGAGACCGTTGTCTCCCTTTGCGGCTCTCGGCTACCGGGGGACGTTCCTTCATGTATTTTTGTTATTTCATTTCTTCTGTCTGTGCTTTGCCCTGGGGCGTTCTCCTTTGTTTTAAAGATGTATTTATTCATGCATCCAAGAGCTGGGGCGCAGGCCAGAGGTGCGGGGGTGAGAGGACTCCCCAGAGAGAGCGGGGAGCAGAACAGGCGGATCCACTGAAACCCACGGCTGCGGGGAGCAGCGGGGAGACAGGAGGGGTCTGCCGCGCCCTGTGGGCTGCTCCCGGGCAGGGGATCGAACTCGTGCTGCAGAGGCTGCGGACAGCTTCAGTGCTGAGACTTGGCCCCTGTGCCCCCGGGGGCCCCTGCGCCGGTGTGTTCTTGGGGGCGCTTTGCTGACTGATCTGGTAAACTCTTCACATAGTAAGGAGCCGCGTCCACGTCCCGACCACCGGGGTGAGCGGCTCTCGCTGCTGCTCCCACGCACCACTGAGACGTGTCGATGGCTGGGCCTCCTCGGGCAGCGGTCTCTCGGGGGCCGGGGCCGGCGTGCTGAGCGGCGGTGCTGACCGGCCCTGTCCTCTGCCCAGGGGACTACGCCCAGCTGAGCCTGCGCGTGCTGTACCTGGAGGCCGGGGTGTACGACGTCCCCATCACCGTGACGGACTCTGGGAACCCGCCCCTGTCCAGCACGTCCATCATCAAGGTCAAGGTGTGCCCGTGCGACGAGAACGGCGACTGCACGGCGGTGGGCGCGGTGGCAGCGGCCGGGCTGGGCACGGGGGCCATGGTGGCCATCCTCCTCTGCATCGTCATCCTGCTGAGTGAGTACGGCCGTGCCGCGCCGCCCCGGGCTCTCCGCGGGGCCTCCCGGACGCCCCTCGGGCCGGTGTCCCCGGGCCAGGGGCAGCAGCCTCCAGGGTGGAGGCCGTGGAGGAGGGGCAGCGCCCCCCAGCGCACTCTGTCCGGAGCGGGCGCTCTCTGGCGGGGGTGAAGGTGTGTCTCTGCCCTGGAGCCTGTCGCCGGCAGGCAGGCGTGTGCCGGCCGCTCCTGCTCCTCCAGCCAGCTTGGCTCCCCAGGTAGGGCGAGCGGGGAGGGCCCCAGGAGGCAGGACAGGGAGGGGTGGGCGCGGGCTCGGCTCCATGCCCAGAGCCAAGGGGCCCTCCAGGCACGTGGGGGGAACCCGCCTCCAGCTCCAGGTCATCCCCCAGGGCGGGTCCTCGTCACCGAGGTCACCACAGCTGCGTCGCGGGGTGTTCTCTGGCCCGGGCAGGAGGTGTCTGTGCCGGTGGGGACGCACGCCAGCCGGCCCTGGGAGCGCCCAGCGCGGACGGCCCCCGGCGGCCAGTGGCGGGCGGCCGGCAGGGAGGGCAAGGCGGCCAAGGCGGCAGCGGGGCGCCCGGCCGGGGTGCAGCAGCCACGGGCCCCCTCCCGCTGCCCCTCACCGCTGCTCTCCGGGCCCCGGCCGCAGCCATGGTGCTGGTGTTCGCGGCGTGGCTGCGGCGCCGGGAGAGGGAGCGACACGCCAAGCAGCTGCTCATCGACCCCGAGGACGACGTGCGGGACAACATCCTCAAGTACGACGAGGAGGGGGGCGGCGAGGAGGACCAGGTGAGCCCCGCGGGTGGCAGGGGCAGCTCCCGGGCGCAGCCGTCGGACACGTGGCAACTCCCCCCCATGACCCCTTGGAGCCCGCGGGCAGGGGATCCGCAGCCCAGCCTGGCAGTGTGTGGGCACCACGCCTGCCAGGGCAGCGAGGACGGTGGCCATCCCGGACGGCGGGGCTGTGGGCCAAGAGCAGCGGGGGTGCGGCAGGGCAGGTGGGGGGGCGCAGGCAGGCCGTCACAGAGCAGCACCCCCCCACCAACCCCCCAGGACTATGACCTGAGCCAGCTGCAGCAGCCCGAGGCCATGGAGCCCACGCTGAGCAAGGCCCCGGCGTGCGGCGCGTGGACGAGCGGCCCGTGGGCGCCGAGCCCCAGTACCCTGCCAGGCCTGTGGTACCCCACCCAGGAGACATCGGCGACTTCATCAGTGAGGTGGGTGCCCACACGGCAGCAGGCGCCCCGGCAGGACTCCCAGAGAGCACCCCGAGAGACGCGCCGCGGGGCAGGGACAGACCCAGACCTGCTCCCCAGCACAGCTCCCTGGCCTGCCGGCCCCCCGGCCAGCCCCAACTCCCGGCCCCCCAGCCCCCAGCAGCACCGTCGGCCCTGACCCCCGTCGTCCCCCTGGCTCGCCCGCAGCGCCGTCCAGCCCCAGCCCTGAGCCCCCCAGCCTGCCCACCCGCCGCCCCGTCCGGCCCTGACCCCCGCCCCCCTCAGCTCACCTGCTGCGCCGTCCGGCCCCGGCCCTCACCCCCGTCTCCCCCAGGGCCTCCGGGCAGCTGACAGAGACCCCACGGCGCCCCCCTACGACTCCCTGCTGGTCTTCGACTATGAGGGCAGCGGCTCCACCACGGGCTCCGTCAGCTCCCTGACCTCGTCCAGCTCGGGGGACCAGGACTACGACTACCTGGGCGACTGGGGGCCCCGCTTCAAGAAGCTGGCGGACATGTACGGGGGCGGCGAAGAGGACTGAGGCCTCCCGGGACCCAACGGGAGCCGCGCAGGTGCCCAGGAGCAGCGGGGAGGCCGGGTCTCCTGCCCGGACGGCCCTTTCGTGGGTTCAGGGCCCCTCCCGCCCAGCCCCACTGCCCAGCATGCTCGCCGCGGCCCGCCGGCCGGCCAGGAGAGCGGAGGCGCCGCCCGACTCGACACTCCCGCGAGCAGCCCTGGCTAAAGAACACGGAAGTGCCTTCCGGAGCGCGCCGGCCTCAGCCAGGAGCCGCCGCGGCAGCAGCCGGCCCGGCCCCGAGCGCCCGGCGGCCCGGCCAGGAACGGGGAGGATGTCGCTGTTTCTAGTCTCTTAAGGGGAAGAGTCACTTGGCAAAATTCACAAAGCAAAGCTTGTTTGGGGACACACCCCAGCAGCCCCCCGAGCGCGCTGGCTCGGGCTGGGGGCTCCCGGGGCTCGCGGGGCGGCTGGGGGCAGGCCCGCGCCGGGCTCTGGCAGCGGGAGTCCCGGGCAGCTGCTGGCACCACAGGAGCAGCTGAGCGCGTTCCCTCCGGCCCTGCCTGGAGACTGGAGAGCTGGGGTGGAGGCCCCAGGGACTGTCCCTGGTCTCCCCATCTCCGCCCTGCCATCCGCAGGGTCCCCCAGCCAACCAGGAAGCCTCCCCAAGGCCTGCTGTCACCCCAGGCGCCGCCCGGGGCCCCCTGCCTTGGGTGTCCGACGGAGCCACAGCCCAAATCAGTCCGCACCCAAAGGCCCCGGCACGAGCCCCCTCATCAGACCCGTCGGCAGCCGGCAGACGCCCTGGCCGGCCACCGGGCCGCGGCACTCTCCCGCCCGCCTGGCTGGGCAGGGCATCTGGCGCTCAGCGCCCTCGCTGCTGTCCCGCTGTCCCACGCGCGTCCGCCTGCCCCCCCCCCCCCCGTGGACCCGCGGCAGCAGGGGGAGGAGTTCTGCCTCCACTGGACGCTGGGGCGGCCCCGGGACACAGGAAGGGCCGCCCCGCAGCCTCTGTCCCTGCGGAGCAACCTCCCGCACTCCCCACAGCAGCCGGGGCAGGAGGCACCCCCGTGGGGCCAGCTCCTCTGCTCTCTGCGCCCCAAGATGGGTGAAGGCACCATAGCCCTGGGCAGGACCTGGCCTCGGTACCCCCGGAGAGGGTCCCGGCACCGACAAGGACAAAGGCTGCTGCTGCGGGGACACCTCGGCCGGCCTTGGGGAGGCCTACACGCCCCAGACCCAAGGCAGCGGCCGGGCCGGGCGGGGTGCACAGCCCCCTCCGGGGTGCGTGGAGGCGGGGGGGGGGGAGCGGGTAGTCTCCCTGCTTCCCCGGGGCCTGGAGAGGCGGGGCTGGGTGCCCCTTCCATGTCTCCATGGGCCTCTGCTCCGTCCCCCCAGCCCGGGGTGACTGCTGCCACGCTCATCCTCACCGCTGAGCAGCTGTGACCTGGGAGGTGCACGCGTGTGGCCGTGGGGTGTGTCACGGACGTCAGGGTTCACCAGCCACTCACTCCCCTCACCATCCCGCTGCTCCCAGGGCTGCCGGGACCCTGGCTTGGCCTGTGCGCATTTGTGCATCGACCTCCTGGTTGCCTGGGAGGGGAGGCGGCACCCTGGGCTGGTGCCCCCCTCTGTGTGGCCTGTAGGGTGGGGGCCTCAGAGGGTACCCCAGTCCAAGCCCTGCTATGCCCATTGCCGGGGGCCTGCGGGGGGTGCTGCCGGGGTGGGAGCTGGAATCTCATTTTTGTTGGTTTGGGGGAAGTTCATCCCGCGTCACTGCTAAGTGTGAACGTGCCGGGCGTGGCCCGGGGTGGCCCCGGCTCACCTTGGGAGGCTGCACCAGGCCAGGGCTCAGCATCAGCGACACCTGTGGGCGCCCCAGGCACCGGCAGCCCTGGGCTGCCCGCCTCATGCACCCGGAGCCCGCCCGGCCGTCACCCACGCCCCCTCCCCGGCCTCCCGCGTGGCCACCTCTGCCCGGGCAGCTCCCCGCGAAGTGGGGCCCCGCGGCCACCCCGTCTCCACACTGCTGGACAGCGGTCCCTGGGCGGAGAAAATGGGGTTCCCACGCCCTCCCAGAGGGTGCCGGAGCTGCCCCAGGAGCCCGCGGCACGTTAGCCGCGTGTCCAGCGTCCCCCCACGCAGCGCGTCCTCGCGCCATGTCCGCGGCGGGCCCGGCATGGGCGCTGGGACGTGCTGGGGCGGGGCTCGGCTTGTTGGGGGGTGGTTCTGCAAACGGGGGAGCCCCGCACGGCCGCGCGGGGGGCCTGGGCCAGCGGGCAGCACCGGCCCCGCGGCCCGACGGCGCGTCCAGGGCGGGGCCCCCGCGAGCCTCGGCTCCCCGCGCGGCGGCTCCCCGGGCGGGGCTGGAGGGGCGCCCCGAGACGCGTCTTCTCGCCGCCCCGTCTTCCGTTCTGGTTCTTCGTTGCATGTTTCCCGACCGCGCGGCGCATGACGAGGCCGCGGGCTGGACGCCGGGCGCCGGGGGCGGGCGCGCGGCCTCTTTTGTAACCGTCGACAGCACAACTATTTTGTATTGTTGTTTGTATCATTTTGTACCAAAAAGGCGAAGGGGGAGAGCGCGTCCATGTTCTCGTGTGGCAGCGCCCAGCGGCCGCGGCTCCAAACGCGGGGCGCGGGGGCGCGCGGGGCGCGGCACCTGCTGGGGAGGAAATAAAGTCCCCTTTGAAGTCGCCTCGGGCTGGTTCTTTCCGCAGGTGTCCCGGGCGGAGGGGCCGGCGGCCGCCCCTCGAGGGGCGCCGGGCTCCCGCAGACCGGCCGGGCGCACCCCGGGGCCGCGGCTCCTGAGCTGGGGCGCCGCCACGGAGGAGGCCGCGCCGGCGGGAACCCAGGGCCCACCCCGGGGCGCACAGCCAGGCCAGGGCCCGAGCAGAGGCCGCGCCGGGGCCCTGGGGGGGCCTTCCGCGCCACCCCCAACACACACCGAGGTCAGCGGCCCAACGGAGCCCGCGCCCGCCCGTGCACCCCCGAGCCGTGAGCGCCTCTCCCCCGCCCGGGCACAGGGCCTGCCCGCCGGCCCCGGGGTCCTGGGGGGACAGCCCAGCCGGTGAGGTGGCTCAGGCCTGGCGAAGGCGCAGGGGCTTCCCGCGCTCGGGGGGCCCCGCCTTCTGGGTCCCGCGGGGGGGGGCGCCCCAGGGGGCAGCCGGGCACGGGCGCGGGCGGCACAGCCCCGGACCCCGCGGGTCCCTGGGGCGAGCTCAGCAGGGATGGCCGCGCCCCCGCCCCGCCGCCGCAGAGGCCGGTCGGCGCCCGCGGGGTCAGGCTCCCGCCCGCGGCAGGGCCGCTCGGCCTCCTCGCCCCAGGCCTGTCATGGGCACAAACTTGCGTCCACAAAGCAGGACAGAAACGGCCCCGGCTACCCGCGGGCAGCTCGGCCACCACAGCACAGGGAGCCGCGTGGATTCCGGGCCGGCAGCTAATCACGCTCACAACCAGGCGGCGCGGGGGCGGGGGGCGGGGGGCGGGGGGCTGGGGGCGGACCCCGAGGCCGGGGAGGGAGGCCTGAGGCCCCGCCCAGACCCCGCCCAGCTCCCCGGGGTCCTTCACGGGAGGGCGGCCTCAGGGGCGGGCAGGCGGGGCCTCAGGGGCGGCCCTCGCTGGCGCTGGCCGGGGCTGGGGCGCGTCCCTCAGGCGCCAACAGCGGGGAGGCCGGGTGCCAGGGCGGTGGGCCGGGGCCGGGGAGGCGGCGAGGAGCCGCTGCGGGGAGGCTCCGGCAAGGCCGACGGGCGGCCGGGAGGGGCGGCCTGGCCCCCACCTGCGGGCACCCCCCGGGCTGCAGGACCCTCCCGAGCGGGACGGGGGCCCGAGGGCCGCCCTGCTCGGCGCCGGCACTTTCCTGGCCCTCGGGGCGCGGCCCGGCTTCGGCCTCACGCAGGGCAGCGCAGGCCCCAACTCGGGGGGCTCTGGGGCCGGCCTCCCCCCAGGACCGGCTCTGGGGCGCGCGCTCTGGGCCCTCAAGCCAGGCGCCCCCGCCCCCGCGGAGCAGACGAGCCCGAGCGGCCCGAGTCGGGAGCGGCCCGAGTCGGGGGCCGGGGGCCGGGCGCGCGCCCTCCGGGCCAAGGACCGAGGACCCCGGCGCGCCCCCTCCCACGACCTCCCGCCCGCCCCCTGCTCGAGCCCCGCCCGCGCCCGCAGGTGCCTCGGCCGAGGGTTCCCCGCGAGCGCCCGGAGCCCCCCCCACCCCGCACGGCCGCTCCGGGCCGCCCCGCGCCGCGGGGAACGGGTCAGCGCCTGGCGCGGCCCTGGGCGCCTCGAGGACGCCCCTGCCCCGGCAGCCGCCGGCCGCCCACGCCCCCGGTTCCCGCGCGCCCCCGGGCCAGGGCGCGCACGGCAGGCCGGCCCGGCCCGGAGAGGACTGGGGCGCAGCCCCCCATCCCGCAGCGCCGGCGGCGGCCCGAGCTGCGGCCGCACCCCCGAGGGCCGCCCAGCGCAGGGGCCGCACCCCACGGAGGCCGTCGGGCCATACGGGGACAACGAGGCCGGGAGGCGGCGCCCCAGGCCCGCGCCACCGCGGACCCCCGACGGCCCCGGCCCGCAGCAGACGCCCTGGGGACCCCGGGGGCGCGCCCGGCTCTGGCGGGGCCTCCTGCGCGGGGAGTCCGGGCGCGGGGCGGGGCCCCCCGGGGGCTGGAGGGCGCCCCGCGGCGAACCCGACGGGAAACACAGGCGAAACGCGTACAGATAAATTTGTTTTTAATAAAGGAGTTAATTTTCTTTCAATCCTATATAAAACAATAGCCATTAAAAACTTCATTTTTGAAAGTAAAATATTTACATATGAACAAGTAACTGTGCAAAATTTACATGAAAAAATGGAAAGAAGGGGGGGGCCCTAAAAGACAAAGAAAGAGGCGCGACGGTCGGGTCGGTAAAAAATACTGATCAGGTCGAGCGCGGGGGCGCGGCCGCGGGTCCAGGCGGCGCGTCCGAAGGTCATAAAAGTCCTGTCCGGGGCAATTGGATACAATAAACCTCTGAAAATATAAAGAACCCATCAGCGTATCTGCGATAAAAAAATAGGTACAAAGACGGGGCGCGGGGCCGCCCCCGCCCGGCTCTCACTTCGTCCGCGTCTCCACTTTGAGCTAAAAAACACAGTGCAAGTAAAATAGACTCTCGGGGCCCCGCCCGCCCGCGCCCCGGCTTCACCCACCAGAGCGGGGGGCGCGCGGGGCGCGGGGGGCGCGCGGGGCGCGGGACGGGCTAAAAGTCGGCGGCGCCGCCGACGGTACAAAAATAGGGGCGCGGGGCGGGGCGGGGCGGGGGCCGGGGGGCGGGGCGGGGCGGGGCGGGGCGGGCCCGCCATGGCTTGGGCTACTTGAGCAGCGCCTTGTAGAGCAGCAGGGAGTGGCTGGTCTCGCGCTCGTTCTCCAGGCAGAAGATGAGGTCCCTGAGGTTGACGCGCGTGATCCGCTGCCGCGCGAACTGCCGCGGGCCGCCGCCGCCGGAGCCGCCGGGCAACGCCGCGCCGGGGCCCGAGCCCTGCGGGGACGCGCGGTCAGGCCGGGGCGGGGCGGGGCGGGCCGGGGCGGCCCCGGCGCCATACCCGACCCGGCGCCCGACCCCGACCCGGCGCCCGACCCCGACCCGGGGCCCGACCCGGAGCCCGACCCGGCGCCCGACCCCGACCCGGGGCCCGACCCGGAGCGCGACCCGGCGCCCGACCCCGACCCGGGGCCCGACCCGGCGCCCGACCCGACCCGGGGCCCGACCCGGAGCCCGACCCGGCGCCCGACCCGGCCCGACCCCGACCCGGGGCCCGACCCGGCGCCCGACCCCGACCCGGGCCCGACCCGGAGCGCGACCCGGCGCCCGACCCCGACCCGGGCCCGTCTCCCGCAGCCGCCGGCCCCGCGCCCCGGCCACCCGCGCCGCCGCCCGTGGCCAGCAGGTGGCGGGCGCGGCCCGCGCAGACCCGTCCCCGCGCGGCTCCGGCCCGCCCGGCGCGCGCGGGACACTCCAACCACCAGGCCAGCCCGGCGCGAGCCCCGCGGGGGACGGGGCCAGAGGCCCGGGCGAGGAGGGGCTCGCGGCGGCGCCCACAGGAGCCAGGCCGCGGAGGCGGCGCGGTGAGGGCTGGACAGGGAGCCCCGAAACCAGCTGACCCAGCCCCACCGAGACACACAGGGCCCCGGGAAGGGGGTGGACTCGGGCGGAGGGACGGCCAGGCCCGGCCAGCTCTCCCCTGGCCCTGCGCAGGGCCCTGCCCCACTCTGCAGAGGCACCAGCGCCCAGGACTCGGGACTCTGGCCAAGGCTGCAGAGACCTGGGGCACTCAGGGACGTTCGGGCCAGAAGGCGGGCACCTGGAGCCCACAGAGGACCCGCCCCAGGCTCCAGGCAGCTCCCAGGCCCAGGCATTGCAAGGCGGAGGCCGCAGACCGGAGCCCTGGGGCGGGCGGGCACGGGGCAGGCCGGCGGCAGGGACGGCGGGCTCCGAGGACAGAGCCTGCAGGCCACTGGGCCTGGACCACAGGGCTGCCCACCCCGCTGAAGGAGCAGCAGGACCCTGCCAACACCTCCCTGAGGACGACAGGAGGACAGACGGACGGCAACTTAGAGGGACGGTGCTCACGTCCCAGTGGCCGGGGAGATGTACCTCAAGCAGCCGGACAGGCAGCGCCAGGACGGCCACTGCCCGGGGCACGAGGCCTCTCACACCTCAACACACGGACCTGGGCTCCTGGCCCGGCACATGGGAGCCCAGACGCCCCCTTGGGCCTGACCAGACAGAACCAGCGGCCCTCGGCTCCCTAGGGAGGGGCAGCCTGCAGGGCCTCTGCCGGGGCCTGCTCTCCGGCTCTGCGCTCACGGAGCCCGGGGGCCGGGGCCGCGCTGGCCCAGCTCAAATCAGAGGCTGCAGGGACCGAATGACCAGAGCCCCAGCTCAGCCTCGGTCCCCACAACCACAGGTCCGCACAGCAAGGGGCCGCTCGCCGCAGGAGGTAGGATGCGCCCTGGACAGGTCAGGAGCCCCAGCTCCGCCCCAGAAAGCCCCTGGGGCTGGAGGAAGGGGGCGCCGCCTCGCCCCAGGGAACGGCGGGATGGGGCCAGCAGCCGGCTCCGCCAGACGCCAGAGACGGGCATCCTGCTCCGAAACTGAGACGTTACAAGGCACTAGAAAGCGTAAAACGCCACAAATGGGAATGAGCAAGCAGCGTGACAAAAAAAAAAATCACAAATAAAACTTCTTTTGAGAAATGAAGACTAAACTGGGGAGCGGGGCAGGAGCTGGCCGCGGGCGTTCCCAGGGCGGCGGCCGCTCCCTAGGCGCTGGCAGGCTTCTCCCGCCCCCTCGCCAACACCGCAGCGAAAGTAAAGCGCCGACAGCAGGAGCCGCAGCAACCCAACTCCCGCAGCGCGAGAGCCCGCGGCCCTGGCGCTCCACCAGGCGCCCAGGGGCCAGCTCGGCCGCGGCCACGAGACAGACGTAAACAGGCAAGCGGCCGGGCCTAGGGCAGCAGGAGGCTCCGGCCAGGCGGGCAGCGGTGGACCCGGTGAGAGGCAGCTCTCCCGGGCCGGGCGGGCAGCGCAGCGCATCGCAGCAGGAGGCCCAGCACACAGGGCGGGAGCAGCCCGGGCGGGGACACAGGCCCGCCAGGCACCCTGACCCCAACGCTGGGTGCAGAGGAAAAAGTCAGCCTGAAGCAGAGGCCCCGGCCCGGCACCTAACACAGACCAACCCCAGATGCTTGGGGGCCCCCTCTAAGCGGCCCACGAGAGGACCCGGCCAGGGCGTGGGAGCACCAGTCAGGGGGCGCTGGTGGCCAGGACGGCCTCGGAGGAGCCCCGAGCGGCACGCAGCCTCAGGCCGCTGGCCACCTCCGAGGACAGGGTTCCAGATCTGCAAAACTGCCTGGGAACCTCCGTCTCTCCATGAGCAGACACCCCGCGCTGGCGCCCCGTGGTGAAATAGAGGGGCTCAGGGACAGAGGGAAAGGCAGAAGACGGCCACCTCCCGGCGCACCGCCCTGCAGGCCTGACGTTCACAACTGACCTCTCAGGGCAAAAACAAGGTGATGCGCGGGCTGAGCCCTCACAGCCAGCAGCGGGGTGTGGACCCCGGGGACCCCCGCACACAGACGGGTCCCCAGGTCTGGGCTCCGAGGACCAGTGACGCCAGCACCCACACAGGGCCCTCTGGGGCTCTGGGCGAGGGGCCGCAGCCCACCCATACCTCCGTGCCCGACCCCGGGCCTGGCGAGTCCACTTTCCTCTTCTTCCGCGGCCCAATGGCGGCCAGCGCCGTGAGGTTGGCGTCCCGCTGCCGCATCTGCGCCAGCTCTTGCTGCTGCATCTTTGAGGGGAACAGAGGATGTCGGTCCACGCACGTGACCTCTGCTTACTACAGACGCCAGGGGGGCTCCTGACACTTTCTAAATTAAAGCATTTTTAACATTCTCACTTTTTTTAAACAGGGAGCATAGGGCCTCCCCAGTGGCGCAGCGGTCGAGCGCTGGGCTGCGAAGCTGCCCGCAGCCTCTGCAGCGCCCGTTCGATCCCCGGCCGCAAGCGAGGGTCCCCCATGGCGCGCAGACCTCTCCTGCCGCCCGCTGCTCCCCTCAGCAGTGTCCTTCGGTCCTTCTGCCTGCTCTGCTCCCCGCTCTGGCTCTGGTGAATCCTCTCACCCTCCCGCGCTTCTGACTGCACCCAGTGCTTGTGTAAATAAATAAATAAGTCTTTTTTAAAAATTAAAATAAAACAGGGAACATAGTTTACCACCAGAAGGAGGAAGCAGCACCTGCTTGTCTTAAAAATTCAGGAAATATGAACAAATTCTAAAAAGAGCCGCTAACTGCCGCTCAGCAGGAGGCAGACTGCAGAGAAAAGCCTTCACCAAACCACGGAGTGCCGCGCGGCCCACCCGCGCCACTGCCGCTGAGAGCGGGCCCCTCCCGCCTGCCGGACAGGGGGCTGGACATGGGCGCTGGCTGGGGCGCAGCGGAGACCCTGCCCGGAGAAAGCTCACCTCTTTCGCCTTCTGCTTCAGCCGTAATTGTTCCGGATCTTCTTGTCTGGATCGAGACTTTTTTTCAAAGAGATCAAAAAGAACAGTAAGTTAGGACCGCGTGTGACCCGGCCGTCTAGCCCCACGACAGGGCACGGTGCCAACCTCCCTCACGCGCGGAGCACAAAGCCCCTCCTGGAAAGAAATGAAAACGTAAGAAGATCAACAGCGTCTGCACACCAGCCGGGCGCCCAGGCGCTGACCGGACCACGAGCCAGCGCGGCCCTGCCCACTGCCCTCCCCAGCCCAGCCCCCACCACCGGACGAGCGGCTGGGGCTGGCCACGTGCCTTGGCCGCCCGCATCAGGATCTCCCGCTCCTGCTCGTCCTTCCTCTGCTTCTCAATCTGGTCGAGCTGTTCAAAAAACTTGAGCTGAGCCCGGACGTCACTGGCCTGCTCGTACCTGTCATCATCCTGCAGCAAAGCGACAGACCGAAGTCATGGACCTGGGGGCCCAGCTGGGCTGCACACAGCCCCGCTGTGCAGGCCCCACAGGAGTGCTGACCCAGCAGCCCCCCGAGACCCCCCGATCTCAGAAACTCTCATTGGGGTCACCCTGGGACCCTTCGTCTACTTCGGCATTTTCAGCAACACTAACGCGCCTCTGCGGCGGCTCAGGGAGGTGGCTGCGGACTCTCCCCTCGCCCTGCAGGCAGGTGGAAAGCCACCGCTGCAGTGCCCCCGAACAGCACCGGGCGCAGGGGCGGCCGTCCACTCGGTGCCTGCACTGAACCTGGCGCTGGTGCAGTGCGCCCCTCCACGCCCGGCCAAGCCCTGGGCGCCCACAGGCAAGAGGCTCCCGATTTCCAAAGGCAGACAGGTCGCCTGGTAGAGGTGAACAGCCCCGCAGGGCGCGCCCCCCCCCACCGCCCACCCCTCCCCCAGCTGGGGGGCAGAGCACGTGGCTGGGGCAAGTGGCCACTTCCCTGAACCCGCCCGGCTCCGCAGTCCGGTCTCAGAGCACAGCCGGCCGTCACCTTGTAAGAGAAGTTCTTTTGCTGGGCCGTTTCCGATATTTTTTCCACCAGGCTCTGCAGCCTCTGCTGCGTGGCGTGGGAGACGTAGCTCACAACGTCAGGGTGCAGCTCCGTGATGCCGTGCTTTTTACCTAGGGGTTGGCACATGAATCTCTCAGCCACCGGACCCGCGGCCTCCCTCGCCACGCTGCTGTCCGCTCCCACCCACCAGTCACTGCTCTAGGCCGCGACCGGCAGCCCAAGCGCCCGGGGCGGGGAGGGGCCCCGCGGCTCCCGGGAGCACCGTGTCCACACAGGGACGCCCGCGGGACGCCGGGGCAGCAGGGGCACCTCGCGCACCTATCTCCAGGATCCTCCTTTGCAGAGGGGCCGGGAGCAAGAAGGTCTCATCTTTGCAGGACCGCGTCAGGGTGCCCACCAGCTCCGAGTTGGTGGCTAAAATTCTAGCACTTTCTTCGGACAGGTTCACTCCTGCCATTGACGCAACATCGTTGATGTCGTCATCATCCCTTCAGAAAAGAAGGCGACATCACTAACTGAAGGGGGGCCCCTCGGGGGCACTAGCAAGGCTGCGGGGAACCTGCTCTTCCCAAATCAGAACCGCAGGGAAGCAGATCTGGGTCTGCACTCCCCGGAGCGCTGAGGGACAGGGCGGGGGGGTGGGCATGGGCAGAGGGCTCGCCAGGGCTAGCGCTGGCAACACCCCCACTCAGCGCACGTCGCCTGGGCCCTGCCCCCCACCCCCCAACTCCTTAAAGGCTGTCAGCAGAGGCAGGGCTTAGAAACGACTGCAGACCCGCGGGGACCCCAGGGCAGCGCAAACACCGTCGCCTGTGCGCCGGGCCCAGACCGCCCTCCTGGCCAGTGGACACTGAGCAGGACGGCGCTGAGCAGGCTCCGTGTGCCTCCGCCCCTGGCACGCCGGGACAGGTGGACGCGCGCTCGGTTCCCGGGAGGGGCAGGTCCCGTGAAAGCCTCGGGGCCCCTGAAGCTCGCACCCCTCCTAAACGATGGCCGCGCCACCCCGCCCCTCGTGTCCCGCTGTCTGGCCCCACGACCAAGGACAGGGCGTGGGGAGGCGTCCGAGAGGCGGAGGGACGTGCGTCCCGGGCTGCCCATCGGCTCCCGCTGCGCAGGGCCCCCACACGCGCTCGCGGAGGAAGTCGCCCCAGCGGCCAGTGGCCAGCGGCCGCGCAGCGAGGATGCCCGCCCCTTACCGAAACGAGCCTCCCCCGGGCTCCTTGAGTTTATTTTTCTGAGCAGCAGCTGCCTGGGCCGAGACAGTGGCAAGAGCTTTGGTTCCCGGTAACACAGCGGGTTTCACCACGGGGACTGCAAAACGGGAGACAGGCTGTCCCCGCCGCCGGGACCTGCCCTGGCCGGGGCGACGGACAGGGAGGAGCCGCCCACACCACAGCTTCCCGCCTCTGTTGAGCTGCTTCCACGCGGCAGCGACCTGCACCAGCGCGTGGCACAAGGGGCACAGGGTGGGGGGTGCCCGCAAGGGAGATAAGGGAGATGGGGCGATGGGGGCGCGCCGGAGGCAGCGTGGGCTGCGGGACCCACCTGGCTGCAGCGGGTTGAGCTGGATCTGCTGGGGTGTGGTGAGCACGATGCGGCTGTGGGGCTGCCGGAGTGCAACCATGGGCGTCTGCGTCAGCGTCACCTGCGGGGGCCGGAGCAGCGCCCCAGGCTTGGGCGGCTGCTGGATCACCTGTGGCAGAGTCCAGCACTCAAGGCCGGTACACCCTCCCAGGGCGGCCCCACCAGCAGCTCCTGCGCGAGGGCAGCGCTATGTGGCGCTGAGGCTCTGGGGTGGGGGGCTCTGAGGCCCCACACAGCAGAGGCGGCCAGGGCCCCAGAGCTCGAGGGCCTCGCTCTGCCCCTCTAGGGACAGGGGTGGCTCTGACACCGGTTGGGTGGCAGCTGCCCTCAGTCCCGCCTGCACCCCTGGAGCCACAAGAGCCATGGCCCACAGCCCCAGGGGCAGCAGCCCGCTCACCCAGCCCACCGGGCGGGACACTCTCTGGGGCCTGGCCCTGCCTGTGCCCTCAGGCCCCAGGCGCCGTGTCTCTAGCGTGGCCAGAGGTGAGCAGGGAGGGAGCACTGCCCGCCTGCCAACCTGCGTGGGCTGCGTGAGGCTGATGACCGGGGGCTGGAGGGCACTGGTTGCCGTGGCTGCCGTCTTCCCGGCCGTGCGCTGGACCGAGCTGCTCAGCACAACGGCCGTGAGGGCCGTGGTGGCCTGCGAGGCGGGTGGCGGCTGCTGCTGGCTCTGCTGGATGAAGGCCGCGGAGTCGGGGGTCAGCTGTCTCAGGGCGGGCAAGCTCCTCTGGGCGGAAGACAGATACGGGTGGGCGGCCGCACAGCGCAGGACCCTCACTCCCTGGCCCGACTTGGGGGAGGAGCGCAACCCCACAGTGCAGCCCAGCCCCCAGGGGGCCCGCTGTGGGGGCACCAGCGCCCCCTGCAGACAGCAGCGAAGCAGGGCCCTGGGGGCGCCAGGTTCCTGCAGCCCCTCTGCCTGGGAGCAGGCCCCACACGGCCCCTCAGGGCGCACCACTGCAGAAACACCTCTCCTGTAACACCCCGACAGGCCCACCCGCTGCACCCCAGGGACCTGGGGATTACCTTCAGGAAAGGCACAAGGTAAGGTTGAGGTGAAGAATTAAGTTCTCGATATAACCTGCTAGTGAAATCTTCTGCTTCGATTTTTCCATCCTTAAAAACAAAATTCACACTGAATTTCTAACATGAATGAAGTCCTGGACGCCCCAGGCCCCAAGCTGCATTCACACCGAGCCCACTTCGGGGCGGTGGGGCCTCCCAGCTGGACGCTGGCCCTGGGCACAGGCAGCCCCACTCAGGGCCTGCTGCCCACAGCCCCCACGCCACGGGGCCAGCCAGTGCGGGTGCCACAGGGAGTCGGGGACAGCTCGCTAGATCCACCCCATGCACTGAGCAGCCCCGGCCAACTCCAGGGGGAGGCCGAGGGTGGGGCACAGGCCCGGGTGCACCAGACCCCTTCGCCGCGTTTTCTGGCCTCAGCATTTTCTGCCTGAGGCCGTCAGGAGAGGCGAAGTGAGGAGGGCGGAGCAGCCCCAGGCCCTGCAGCCGGGCGCTCTGCGGGCCTCACCAGCAAGCTCTGCACCAGCTCCTTCACGTTGGCGGCAGTCTCCGTGGACTGTTTCCCGGATGAAGCCAGTTTTATTAACGTAGATAGGAAATTTTTGCATTTCTTCACGTTTTCCATCGTTTCCTGAGTCCAAGGTAAAGACAGAGGGATGGCGTCTTGAGGCAGGCCCCCGGCTCCGCCGGAGGAGCAGGTCCAGCCCAGCTCCCGGGCCCACTCGCCGGCCCCCACCTCTTGCGGCCCAGGTCCCCGGGGCTGCACTAAGCGAGAGTCAGGCGGCATCTAAACGCTCACGAGGGAGCTGAGCCGCGCTGGCAGCTGACAGGAGGCGCTGGGCAGAGAAACAGCAAGTTGGGGCGCTGGCACAAGGCCCCCACGAGCACCCAGGCAGCCCAGTGGGCATGCTGACTACTGGGTCAGTCGCTGCAGCTCCCACACAGTCCTCATGGGGGGGGCTTGGCCCCGTGGTGCCTGGGGGCCAGCCTGGGTACTCACCGTGGCAGCCGCGGAGGTGGTGGTGGCACCGGGCACCGTGCGCTGGGGGGTCGCCGTCTGCACCGCCGTTGCCGTCCCGAGCTGGGTGTTCTGAGCCGCGCCGCCCAGGACCAGCTGGGGCTAGGAGAACCGGGGCTCTGAGCGGGCGCCCAGCCGGCGCAGACAGGGTGCACAGGACGGCTGGTGGGGGCCGCTGCCAGGCCGCGGCCCACCCACTGTGGGCCTAGCGGAACGAAGCCGGCAGAGCCCAGCGCCAGGCCACGAGGCACCCCTGTGAGCCGCCTGCCCGTTGCCAGCGCAGGCGCAGCCAGCAGGGACCGAGCCGGACGCCACCAGGCAGCCGCCTGCGCTCCCTCAGCCGGGCAGAGGCGTCCTGCTTGGACCCCGCCGCCCCACGTGACGGCGCCGGGACCTCTAGACTGTGCTTTCCCGACCTCCAAAGCCCATCTTCCCGCTCCAGGTTTTAAAGGCCCCGTCCTCCCTCCCGGAGCGGGAGCCGTGCAGCCCGAGCTCGGCTCACAAGCCATCCGGACAGGCCGCCCGCAACCTGACCCCGGGACGCGGCTCCTGGGCCTCAGTGCTCTCCCCTCGCGATGCCAAGCACCGGCTACTTCTGCAGCTAAAAGCTCCAAGCAGAGAAACCTCGAAGAGGACGAGGAAGGAACCGCCAGGGTGGGGGGTGGGGGGACGGGCGTGGCCTGTCTGGTCGTGGGGCACACGCGCACTGCCCCAGCGGTCGGCCTGCTCGTCCCTGGCCTCCTCAGAACGTGACCACCCGGGCACTGTGGTCGGCTAGGCTGGGGGCTCTCTGGGGCTGCACCGCCCACATGCCGGGCACAGGGCCGCGTGACCTTGCCAAGGGGCCATCCTCATGTGCCTGGTGCTGAGCTCTCGTGGCTTTTAAGCCTCCCTGAGAGCCATGGCTGGCCGAGCTCACACCTGCCCGGGAGCGCCCCAGCCCTGCTCACCTGCACTCCAGGCGGTCGCTGCAGCGCGGGGCTGGGCTGCACCGTCGTCTGCGCCTGAGACACCTGCTTGATAATGGCTGTTGGGGTCACCTGCCGTGCAATTATTGGGGTTCCGGGGGCCTGGAGACAAGTAAGAGCCACTGAGCAGGACTCCCCATCACCGTGCACCCCAAAAGCCACCCGCAAAGAACTAGGGCACGCAAGTGGCTTGCAGTTTTCAGGAAGTCACCCTGGCTCTCCGGTACCCCGCCAAGCTGGACGGCATGACCGGCCCTCCCAGACCTGGACACAAGAACAGTCAGAGCCAAAGAAGATGCCGGGGGGCCCGAGGCGCTGGCTCCCGGCGCCGGGAGTGGCGGGAGAGGAGCTGACGGCAGATAGGCGAGGCAAACACACGGGGCATCACTCCACAGAGCTCCCCGCCACGAGAACTGCCCTGAGCCTTTCGGGGTTCAACAGCGGGGCTGTGGCATCTCGGAATGCACCCTCCAGGCCGCTCCAGGCTCTGCTGTAGGTGCTGCCGGCCAGCTAGCCCAACAGAGCGGTCCGGCCCCAGGAGACTGAGGGCAGCCGAGGCCCACTCCTGCTACCAGCTGGGGTGCAGGCAGGGACCCTATGTGCAAGCTCCTGGAGGGGCCCACACGGCCGCAGCAGGTCCTCGGCGCCGGGCACCCCCACGACAGCAGCAGCCTCGGCCCCACAGCCCCAACACTCCCAAGGCCTGAGCTCGGCCCTCGTCGTCCCGGGACAGCTCCGGTGGGATCTCCACCAGACGGAACGAAGACGGAGGCTCAGGGCGAAGTCCCAGGACAGACAGAGGGGCCAGGACAGGGGCCCCGGACTCACCTGCACGGCAGAGATCTGCACGGGAGGGGCCCCGGTGGGGGTGGCAGGGCGGGGCGCCATGCTGGTCTGCGGCTGGGCCTGGGCATGGGCCTGGGCCTGCATCTGGGCCAGGGCCTGCTGGGGGATCATCAGCAGCTGCCCGTTCTCGCTCCGCACGAGGACCATGCCTGGGGACAGAGGGGCTGGCCTTGAGGAAACGACCCTGCTGGCCAGAGAGACCCTGGCCGGGCGGGAAGAAGAGGCCACCAACATACAGACTCACTCACGTTGCCGGTCAGCCGGGCCAGGGCCACCGCCACAGGGACGCCGACACCCATGCATGCGTCCCCTACACGGCTCACAACACGGCCGCCGGCCCCAGCGCCCGGGGCAACCCGCCCTGCCCAGACCTGGCCTGTCCACCGGGGCCCGTCGCCACCAGCACTGGAGCCTGTAGGCCGGCTCTGCCCCACCAGGGCCCCCGACACGTGGGCTGGGCCACACAGACCTGGGCACCCAAGACAGGCACGGGGAAGGACGCTGGCCCGTGTGGCTCCGGAGCCAAGTGACCGGAGCGCAAACCCTGCCAGCCGGCCCGACCGGGCCCTGGCGGCACACACGGCCAGCAGCGCAGCCACCTTTGCTCCATCCAACTCACGGGGCGGGGGGGGGGGGGGGCCAGGGCCCACACCCTCCCTCCCAGGGCCAGCATACCCAGCTCCACGCCCGGGGCCGGGCCCAGGGAGGGCAGGGAGACGCGGCGGCCGGGGGCGCCCTGGGAGCCCCGGCATCAGGCCGTCATCCTCCGAGCCTGCTGGCTTCGCTCCCGCCGCCCGGGGTCCAGGACGTCACTGAAGTCACTGGGCCGGCTCCTTGGCGAAGCCAACGATCATCGGCGGAGGCCCCCGCGCCCGCCCCACTCTGGGCGAAGCACCACGCAACGCCCAAAACAGCCTTCTGCCCCTCGAGCGAGGCAGACCTGAGGCCGCCGCCCGACCCGGCTGCTGCGAGGAGCTGCTCGGGGCCAGGAGGGCGTCGGGCGCTACCCAGACAGCAGGCAGCCCGGTGCCTGCCCCAGGCTCCATGCAGGTGGAGCAGCCCCTTGCAGCCAAGGACCACCAGGAGCACCCCAAGCCCACGCAGGGTGGGGACCAGGGGAACACTGCGAGCACCCGGCCACCCCGCCCAACCACTCCCTCCTCTGCCCTGGGGACCGGCCAGCGGCGCACAGCCAGGCCCGCAACTGGCTCAGAGCCGACGCGCACCTCAGCCGTCAGAAGCTTCTCCCCACAAACTTCACATCAACGCGCTTGTGACAAGGGCCCCGGAGCAGCAGCACTGTGGTCCACGGGGGCCAGGGTCCCGGAGGGCCTGGGCAGCGGCGGGGGCAGGAGACGCTCAGCCACTGGCCGCAGCGGCAGGGCCACGTTGTGGCCTCAGCCTGCCAGCGCCGGCGGGCAGAACAGCTGCAGCGTCCCCTCGCGCGGCCTTCTGTCGCCCCGGCCCAGGGAGGAAGCCCAAGCACGCACGGGCGGGGCCCGGCACAGACACTCGGGGACCGTGCGAGGGACAGGCCCCACGCAGGCCACTCGGCCAGTGGGGACCGGGTGCCAGGGCACGACAGCAGCCCCTGACTGGAGCGTGCGGGGGCCAGGGCGGCCCCCCAGACACCCCGGCCGCACGCACAAACCAGAGCGACCCTGGTCTCGCTCTGCGTGACCCGCCTCTGACCTCCCGTGTCGGCACCTTCTGTATTTTTAACCGAAATGTAGGTCAAGCAGAAGCACACGGTGACCGGCACTTTCAACCCACCCGGGAGCCCTGGATGACCTCACTTCCGGGGAAGCGCTTCTGGGCACAGGCTGGAAGCCGGCGGGCGCCGAGGCCCCTCCCTGTGCCCTGCCCAGAGCCCGGGCAGACCCAGCTCTACGGGCACCCGGCACCGTCCCAGGCACCAAGACCATGGACCCCACGTGGGGTCGGTAAGGCATGGCCCCGGCCATTCTGTAAGCCTCGAAGTTTTCAAAGTAAACATTGAAGATGGGAGATGCTTTGACCTCCAGGGGTGCAAACTAAGAGCTCGCCGGAGCACCCCTTGAGGGACACTCGCCTGCGGCCAGGATGGAGAGCACCCTGGTGTGGTGGGGAGGGCAGCGGCCATGGCTCAGCTGGTCAGGAGCACAGAGGGTCCCGGCGTGCTCACAGCCCCCGCCTGTCCAGAGACCGCAGAGGGCAGCCCTGAGCCCACCTGCGCCTCCCTGACCGGGCCCACAGCACACGAGGGGTTGAACTGCATCCCCACTGGGGGATGCTGCCCCCCCACTCTGGAACCGCCCTGGGGATCAGGTCCATCAGCTTAAACTGGGGACAAGGCAGGTGGGTCTAAGAGGAACCGGCCCAAGAAGCCCAAGCACTGATCGGCTGGCCTGGCTGACCCTCTGCTGCGCGACCTGCTGGAGGGGCCCCACCTGGCCCTCCAGGCCTCGGCGCGGGAGCTCAGGGCGGGCGGACCGACCACGGGGCCAGCGGGGCCTGTGGAGCTCTGGGCTCCGGCAACCCTTGCCCTGCCCTGCCCACCACAGCCCTCTGCCCCGCCCCACCCCAGCCCCGCCCTCTGGACACAGGAGGGCCCCACAAGCCCACCCACGGGTCCAGAGCTGTGGGGAGAGCCAGCGCCTGGCTGGGCCCCGGGTCCAGCTGGTGGAGGAGTGGGCAGGAGGCGGGGACAGCGCCCGGCCGGCCCGGCCCCCAGAGCTCCGGGGAACATCGCCTGGCCTCTCTCAGGCGGCCTCCCCACGGGCCACGCCCACAGCCCGGCCTGACCCCGGCGGTCTGTGCGTGCCCCGCTCCTCTTCCGGCTTCCCGGCTCACGCCGGCCTGCCTGGACCCAGCTCCGCTGCACACACCGTGCCCTCCGGCGCCCACGGCCACGGCGCCCCAGCCCCGCTCCTCCGCCTCAGACCGGCCTCCCTGCCCCGCCAGCCCACCGGCACGCCCGGCGCGGCCCCGCTGCCCCACCCCCAGCTCCCTCTCGGCGCCCGCACCCGACACTGCACCCGCCCGCGGGGCTCTGGAGCAAGGAGGACCCTGTGCCGGAGCGGGATCAGGCACCCCCTGGGCCCCAGCCGCACGGCCCACCACAGGCTGGGGCCCATGGCGGTGGGACCACGTCTGCTGGGCTGCCCGGCCCCATGGGGGGTGGGGGGCGACAGCCCCAGGAGAGGCCGCACCCAGGGGGCCACGGGGCTCCCTCCCCACAGTCCACAAGGACCTGCCGTGAGCCCAGAAAAGGGGAAGTGCAGGCAGGTGGCCGTGGGGGCGGGGCGGGAGGGCAGCCGGGCGCCTCCCTGACTCAGCCCCGCGCCCCGCCTGCTGCCCCGCCTGCTGCCCCGCCTGCTGGAGGGCCACGCGTCCAGAAGCCACGCTGCAGGAGCCTGAGGTGCTGGCGTCCAAGGCGGGTTCCTGGCAGAGGGCGGGCAGCTGTGCTTCCGGCACCCGGTGGGGGCGGGCCCGCGGGCGGCTGGGCAGCCGACAGGACGGCCGGTCCCCGACGGCAGCTCTGCCCACATAGGCGGCACGTGGCTCCCCCTTGCCCACCCCCAGCCCCTCTGAGGTGCCAGCCCCGGGCCATTCTCGGGCACTGGTCCCTGATGCAGTCAGCTGCCGCTGCTGCCCACCCCAGGAGGGTGACCTGCCAACCACGGCCTGGCCTCAGCACCGCCCACAGCTGCTCCCAGCACTCCAGGGCTCTCGGACTCACCGGCTGACCCCTCAGGCCACCCTGCCCTGGGGAGTGTCCCAGGCCAGAGCCTGCCGCTCCCACCACTGGCACCAGCCCGGCAGCCCGAGCATGAAGGAAGCCCCGCAGCGCTGGCCCCTCCAACCTGCTCTGTGCACGCAGGGGTCCAACCACTGGGCCCGGAAACACACCTCCCGAGGCCCTCAGAGTCCAGCCCTGAAGTCCACTTCATGCAGCTACACAAACTGCTGTGGGCCTCCACCCCGCGGGGCTGGGGACACTGAGACCCCGCCACACGCCCACCAGCCTGGGAGCGGCGGCGGGTCCCGTCGACTGACTTTGGGATGGAGACGAGTCAGCGCAGCCCCACCCGCAGGGCACAGAGGCCGGCGCCCGGGCCCCACGCAGCACCCTCCCGCCAGAAGCACCCGCCCGCCAGGAGCAGGGAGCCCACTGCCTGGTGCCCTGGGGCACAGGGCCAGGCGGGCAGCCTAACACTGGGCAAGCCCTGGAGCTGGGGCTGCGAGCCGGGGACTCCTCCCGTGGCTTTGAGAGTCGAGTTCCCCGTCGCTGACGCTCCAGGCGTGTGAGAAGCCAACAACTCAGCTCGGGGTTTTCGCGGCCTATGCAGACACGGGCCTGACCCCACACACGCCGCAGCCGGCCGGGGGCGGGTCAGGGAGCAATCACTAGGCCGGAGGTTCTGAGCACCCCCAGCGGACGCCACGGCAACCGCCGCCGCCAGGTGCACGGCCTCGCAGGGCGGCCCCGCCCGCTTCCTCCTCTCCAGCCAACCGCAGGCGGCGCAGGCCTGGGGAGAAGCGAGGGCCTGGCCAGCCTCCCAGGTGAGAGGCTGAGCAGCACCTGCCTCCCGGCGCGCGTGGGGCAAGTCTGGGGGTCCTGCTGCTGTCAACAAGAAAAGTACCGCTGAGAACTATGCAAATTACCCCAAATCGCAGACAAGTTTCTCCAGAGTCCTTTTACATCGCCGCTTCAAGGTTTTCAAAAACAGTTAATTATGTTTTGATCAACTCACACATAACGAGCTATTTATAAACACTTCCTTCAAGCGAGTCACTGAAGACGACGCACGCTTACACTGACGCGCCGCCGGGCCTGGGAGCACGTCGGGAAGGACCTCTGCTTTATTAGGGTGCAGGGCGGTGAGACCCGTGGGACTTGCAGTGGGGCCAGCCCCGCCTGGCACCGCCCAGCACACACAGCCCCGGGCCCACCGGCGGCCTCGTGGCCAGAGGGGACGGGACCCCGGGCGGCAGGCCCTCCGGCCCGGCCCACTGAGTACCCGGACACCTCCTTAACCAGCTTCCTGCGCGGGGCCCCTGGCAAGCAGGAGTGCACCCTCCTGGCCCAACAGACTCAGGAAGGCAGGGCTCTGCCCTCAGCAGCGAGACCAAGGGCCCCAGGAAAGATCAGAGGAGCAGAACCTCCAACCCCACCAGCAAAACACTCGCCCCACCTCAGGGCGCCAAGAAGTGTGGGCTCCCTGGCCACGGGGCTGGCCTGGCTCCCTGGAGATGACTTTTTTCCTCATTCAAAGGCCACAGCAACCCCGGTGCACGGAGAGGAAAGCCCCCAGCCCACACTGCGGGAGCCACGCTGGTCCCCACATCTGCAACCGGCACGCCAGCGCGGGTCCTCCTGGCCAGGCCCGTTCGCATGGCCAGTGTGCTTCGGTGGGGACCGAGCTGCGGGGTTTCTCTACGCATGTGACCGCAGATGCTTCGGTCAAGGGCAGGGCGTGAATAACAAACACTGCCTGCCTGGGGGGGCGCTCGGCTGGGGGACTTCAGGGCTTCCCCCATCCAACCCTGCCATCTGGCAGGGAAACTGAGGCTCCGCGGAGCCACAGCCAAGTTGGAGCGTGAGCGTCCACCCAACACAAAACCTATACTCTGAGACCGGTGCTGGGGCCAAAGCAGCCACCAGCAGCTCCAGCTCCTGCACCCGCGGCCAGGGCGTCCCCCCAGGTGGAGCCCCAACAGCACTCTCGCGACCACGGCGCTGCTCGCCTCCTGCCCGGCAAGTCACTGGAGTCCCCAGACGGGAGTTGGCGCCCGACCTTTGGAGCGATGGCATTAAGTGAGGAGCGGGCGGGCGGCCCCTAGTCCAGCGCAGGCGGCCGCGACGAGGAAGTGGCCTTCCGTCCCGGGCAGAGCCTGCCCCTCCCAACACCGCAGCCTGGCAGGAGCGAGTTCTCTGGGCAGGGCCGACGCCGGGCAGACGGGCGGCAGGAGCACTCCCGCCGGAGCCCGAGACGTGAGCGGCCTGCCCGTGCACGCCAGTCCCGCGGCCTCTCCAGCTGCAGCCCACTCTGCCCCCGCCAGCGCCCCGGAGCCAGCAGAAGCTGGTCAGGGTGCTGGGCGGCCGCGCCTCTGCAGGGCCCCACTTGGTCCCCGCGCCCAGGGGACAGCCTGGGCCACGTTCCCTTCACCGCAACACAAATGCCACTTTGCGGAGCCATGGGACAAGAGCCACCACCACGGAGCTGCTACTGCGAGTCCACGGGGCTCCTGTGGACACAAGGAGGCGATCACAAACCCCGTGTCTCTGCTCTCCGCCACGGAACTGAGCCCGGGGCAGGCGCCTCCTCATCGGCACCCGGCGCTCTGCAGACCCTGCCGCCCCCTTCCCAGGTCACGCCCCCTCCCTGCACTCACTCAGGCTCGCAGGTGCCCAGATGCAGCCACCTCGTCCAGGCCCATCTTTGACTTCCCAGGGCGCGTGGCCCCGGAGGCGCAGCCCGCGGTGCCTGTCGCCCAGTGCCAGCTGGCGCAGCTCAGCTGGGCCCGGGGACAGACCGGACCTCCTGGGACCCTGGCAGAGCCAGCGCCCAGGGCGGTCACGGGGAGCGTCCCAGGAACGTGAGCCCCAGGTGTCCAGGGCAGCACGTGGAGGGTCCATCCCAAACCGCAGCCCCTCCCCCCGCGAGACGTCGGCTCTGGTGGGACCCTGGCCTCCCCCGGCAGCTCAGCGGGGTGACAGCAGGGCCGGAGCACCAGGAGGCCCCCGCAGGCTGAGGGAAGCGCGCCTGCACGCAGCCACCCCCAGGTGGGAAGGTGCCCCCTCTTCTGCCCGAACGCACAGCTGCAGGAGGGCTCAGGGATGCACCCACAGACACAGGAGCCAGCAGAGCCCGCAGAGGTGGCTCAGCGCAGCCGGCAGCTCAGCTGACAACGCCCTTCCCTCCTCAGGTGCGCAGCCCCCGCCGGCACCCCAAAACACGAGTGCGGGTGGCGGCCCCCACCTGCGTGGAACTCTCCCCCCTGGCGGGCCGGGGAAGCCTGAGCTTCTGAAGACCCCACGTTCTTGCAGGGCGACCAGGGGTTCCTCCCCAGAGCACGAGGGTACAGGGGTGCTGCTCCACCGACCCGGCCGGCGCTCACAGGACCCGGTGCTCTGGCGGGGGTGGGGGAAGCCGGGCACTGCGCGCTCCCACCGCCCAGCCCCGAGCCCCGGGCCGGGCGGGACACTGAGGCACGCCGAGGCGCCCCAGGAGCCGCAGGCCAGCCCAAAGACGCGGGGGACCCCACTTCCTCAGCCAGAAACGACAGTCCCGGGCCGCCTGCCGAGGCCGGGCTGCGCCGGGCACCGACTCCCCCTCCGGGCGCCCCTGGGCCTCCCCCGCGGGCGGGCGGGCGCCGTCCACCCCGACTGGCCAGCCGGGCAGCCCCGGGGACGGCCGCTCCCTCGGGAAGTGGGGGACGTGGCGCCCCCCGCCCCCCGCCCCCCGCGCCCCGCCCGCACTCACCTGGGGGCAGCTGGAAGTTCTGGATGTTGGCGGGGCTCTGCGGCGGCGGCGGCAGGCGCGGGGCCAGCACGGTGGGCGTCAGCGTGGCCCGGATCCCGCCGGCGGCCGGCGCGGGCGCGCGGGGCAGGCTGGCGGCGGCGGCGGCCGGGCCCTTGGGCAGCGCGGCGGGCGCGCCGGGCGCGGGCAGCGGCGGGCCGAGCAGCAGGCCGGGGCCGGGGCCGGGGCCGGGGCCGGGGCCCGCCAGGGGCGGCGGGGGCGCGGCGGGCGCGGCGGCCTTGGGCGAGTCGGCCTTGGGCCCGGGCGCGGGCGCGGGCGCGGCGGGGGGCGCGGCGGGGGGCGCGGGGGGCGCGGGGGGCGCGGCGGGGGGCGCGGGGGGCGCGGCGCCCGCCCCGTTCTGCGCGGGGGGCGCGGGGGCCGCGGCCCCGGGCGGCCGGGCCAGGCCGGCGGCGGCGGCGGGCGGCGGCGGGGCGGCGGCGGGCGCGGGGGGCGCGGCGGGGGGCGCGGGGGGCGCGGGGGGCGAGGGGCGCGGGGCGCGGGCGCGCCGGGGCCGGGCGGCGTCTGGATGACGGAGGCGGCGGGCGGCGCGGGCGCGGGCGGCCCGTTGGGCAGCGGGCTGGCGGCAGGTGCGGCGGCGCGGAGCGGGCTCCCGGGCCCGGCGCTCCCGTTCAGGGCGAGCGCGGCGCCGGGCCGGGCGGCGGGCTTGGCGGCGGGCTCGGGCGCGGCCGCGGCGCCGGCGCCGGCCCCGGGCGCGCAGGCCCCGGGCGCCGCCGCCGCGCCCGGCCCCGGCCCCGGCCCGGCCCCGGCCCCGGCGCGCCGGCCTCGAGCGCGCCCAGCTTGGCGGCGGGCCCTGCGGGGAAGCGGCGGTGAGGCGGCGGCCCGCCCGGCGCCCGCCCGCGCCCAGGCCCGCGCGCCCTACCTGCGAGGGGCGGCTCCGGCGCCGCGGCGGGCGCGCCCTCGGCCGGCGCGGCGGCGGCTCCGACATGGTTCCCGAGCGCGCCGGCGGCCGCGGCCCGGGGCTCGGGCGCGCGGGGCGCGAGGAGCGGCGGGGGCGCCGCGCTGGCCGCCAGCTGCGACTCGAGCGAGCCCACCAGGTCGCTCACCACTTTCTCGTCCACCTCGCTGCTGAAGAAGACCTCGTCCAGCAGATCCGAGCCCGCCGCCATCTTCGCTCGGCCCCCGCCGCCGCCGCTCGGCCGGCGCTGGGCGGGGAGGAGGCTCCGCGCGGGCGGGCGGGCGGGCGGCCGGGCGGGGGGCGGCGCGCGCCGGGCGGGGCGGGGGCGGCGGCCGGGCGGGGGGCGCGGGCGGCCGGCGCGGGGGGAGGGCGGCGGTGCGCAGGCGCGACGGCGCGCCCGCCCCCGCCCGCCGCCCGGCGCCTCGCGATTGGCCGCGGCGCCGCCCGGCCGCCCGCCCGGCGCCCCGCCATTGGCCGCGGCGCGCGCTTAAAAGGCGCGACCAATGGCCGCGGGCGGCAGAGGCCGGGCGGGCGCGGCGGCGGCGGCGCGGGCGCGGGCGCGGGCGCGGGGGGCCGGCGCGGGGCGGGCCGGGCCGGGGCGCGGGGCGCTCTTTGTCTCCGCTCGCCCCAAAATGGCCGCGGCGGCGGGCGGCGGGCCGGGCCGGCCGGGCCGGGGGAGGCGGGGCCGCGCGGCCGGCCCGGGCCCCGAGCCCGGCCCCGCGCGCCCGCCCGGCGTGTCACTTCCTGCGCGCGGGCCCGGCCGGGCCGGCAGTTCCGGCCGCAGCGCCGCCCGCGCTTCCTGTCCCGCCGCCAGGTAAGCGCCGCGCCGGGGGCGCCGCCGGCCGCGGGGCCGCGGAGGGGAGGCCGCCCCGCCCGCCGCGCCCCCGGGCGCGCCCTGGAGCAGGCCCGGGGCCGGGCCTGGCGCCGCGGCGGGAGGGCGGCGGGGCTGGGTCCCGGGGCGCGCGGGGGCGCCGGCCTGAGGCCGCGGGGGAGGCGCGGGCGGGGTCCTCCGAGACGCGCCGCCCCGCCGGCCCCGAGGCCCGCGCCGACCCTCCGCCCCGGCGAGGCGCCCCGCGCCCGGCCGCTGCCCCCGGGCCCCCAGCAGGAGGGGGACGCCGGCCCCTCCGCGCCGCTCCGCGGGGTCTCGAGCCCCGGGACGGCGGCGCCTCGCGCGGCACAGGGGGCCCCGGTCCCCCCGCGCCCGGCCGGGCCCCGCGGTGTCGGCGGCTGACGGGCGCGTGTTTGCGCGCGGAGGGCGCCCCGGGGCCGAGCGCGGCGGGCGGCAGCCGGGGCCGGGAGCCGGCCCGTCCCGGGGAAGGGAAGGCGCCGGGCGGGCTGCGCGCGGGCTGCGGGGAGGCCCGGGCTGGGCAGGGGGCCGCCGGGGCGGGGGGGTCCGGGGGTGGGGGGCCCCCGCGCCACAGGGGCCCCGGCCCTGCATACGCCGCCGGCTGTTCCCGGGCGGCGCCCTCCCTGGGGTCTCGGAAGCGCGCCCCGCACCCCCGTCTGTAGCGCGGACGAGCGTCTCGGGCGGGCTCGGCGGCAGACCACAAACGCGGGCTTTCGGCTGGAACGGGGCGGCCCTCAGAGCCCAGGTGTGGACCTGCCCGCCCGCCCGGTGCTGGGGCTCGGGCGTGTGGCTCCGGCGAGGCTGCGTCTGTCGCCTCCTCTCCGGGACTCCACCCCTTGGGCCTGGGACCTGACGCGGCCTCATCTCGAGAGCCTGGAGCGGCGCCGCGGGCAGCAGGGCCGGGCTCCGGGAGCGCATGGGCTCAAAGGGGCGCCTGTCTCCCAGTTCGCCAGCGGGCAGCGGTGTCCACTGCTGGACAGGAGACCCTTCAGGGAAAGCGGCGAGCACTGTGCCCAGGACTGCAGCCTTGGCGGGTGTGGGGTGGAGACAGCGGCTCCCTGCTCTGCCGGCCAAGAGCATGACCGTGCGCGGCCTGCTCGAGCAGCCAGAGACCAAACCGGGCCACCTGAGCTGCGGGAAAGGCCACTGAAGCTGAGGACGCTTGAGGCGCGCCGCCTCTCCTGGTCGGGACGGACGCAGGCTCAGGCCCTGAAGCCGCCAGGCCTTGCCGCTCTCTTCCAACTCGGCCTCCCTGACCAGGCAGGCCCCTGATGGCCTGTGGGCTCCCTGCACTGGAGTGGCCAGGCCTGCCTCCTGTCCAGGCTGACCAGAGCTGGAGGGGGCGGCCTGAGCAGCTCAGCTACAGGAGACTATTGGCTACGTCCTCCAGACGCGCTTTGCCGGCAGGGCCTGGACACAAACTTGTGTTCAAGGTCAGGCGGCAGCGACCCACCACCACCACCCGGCACCCTTGCCCAGGTGGCCTCCACTGACCCCTCCTTGCAGGCGGCCAGGGCCTGCCTCTCCCCTTCCTCAAGGGAGCACCCGGCCCGTGTCCCCTGGGAAGGCGTGCCTGGCTGCGCTGTGGTTTCCCCAGCGCACAGTGGTTTCATGGAATCGCCTGTTTGGGTTAATTTCCAACAACCAGCTCCTCCAGCTGTGCACTGTGTGCACCACCCATGGGTGGCTTGGGGCCCGGGGACGCAGGGCCTCAGCTCACGTGCAAAGTTAAGCTGTTAGGCTCTGACTGTTTGCCTGCCAGTGAGAACCTAAATTGGAAGCCTTTTAAATGCAATTACTCGAGAGCAACAAAAGTCCTTGACATAAAGCTCACAAAGTGTCCAGGAGCTTGTGCCCCAGCATGCCCGCCGAGCCTGCGCAGGCGCCTCCAACAACCCTGCCCCTTCCAGATGCTCCTTCCTTCCGCCGTGCTGTGCAAGCATCATCTCCTTTCCTTTTTTTTTTTAAATAAATCTGCCCACGTCCACCCCCACCCCCCAAAAAGGTGCAAGACCTAGACCAAAAACAGTACCTGATCGAGAGAAAAACACGGAGGGAAGGACAAGCCCAAGGCCCGGAAAACTAGGCTTTGTAAAAATGCCACATCTCCGCAAACGTAACCGACAGATTTAGCACAAAATGGATTTTCCAATCCCGCAGGGTCTCTACACAGTGGGCTTTGCCCCCAGTCCTGCCGAACTGACCCGCCCACCAACGGCACTACAGCCTGGCCAGGATGCAGCAGCATCAGCCACGGGCCGGTTACTACCGCCTGTTTCCCTGCCTCAGCCTGAGGGCCGCCCAGCCACACTGTGCAGGCAGGCATCAGCGAGACAGCCCCTTTCTGACCCCAAGAGCAGGGAGAGGGCAGTGACACTCTCCGGAAAGCAAAGGGGCACCCAAGAAAGGAAGACACAAGGGAAGGGGAGACCCGAGTCCTATTTTCAGATCGCCGGATCGCGGGCAGCCTCTGCCCCCGGGAGGCAAGAACCAGGTGGCCGAGCCGCGTCCTGGAGCAGAGCCTGGGCCTGCCCCTCACAGCTCTCCTGCCTCTGACACAGCACAGAAATGATAAAACCAACGCTCTCGTTAGTAGAAACGAATTCAGTCACCACAAAGAACAGCACGTCCAGGATACAAACCAAAAAAAAATTTTTTAAAGATTTGTTTATACGAGACTGGGGTACAGGCCAGAGACGCGAGGGTGAGGGGAGTCACCAGAGACAGAGCGGGGAACAGAACAGGCAGACTGATGAAATACACCGCTGAGGGGAGCAGCGGGGAGACCGGAGAGGTCTGCTGTGCCATGTGGGACTCTCCCTGGCCGGCCGGGGATCGAACCCGCGCTGCAGAGGCTGCGGACAGCTTCACAGCGCTGCGCCACCGGGAAAGCTCCCAACTCAAAATTTTTCATGCAAAGGAGAATGTTAGCCATTCTCAATCAGTTGATCGATAAAAGTAATAGAAACTGACCCCTACATGACCAGGAGAGTGAATTAGCAAAGATTTGAAAGTAATCATCATAGCTATAATCCCCGATACAAATAAAAGGTGCCTTTCACAGCAGACCTCTCGTCTCCCCACTTTCCCCTCAGCAGTGGATTTCAGTGGATCTGCCTGCTCTGCTCCCCACTCTGTCTCTGGGGAGTCCCCTCATCCCCTCACCTCCACACTTGCAGCCCGTGCCCATGCTCTTGTGTGCATAAATAAATCTTTAAAAAAAAAAAAAACCTAAATGATTTAGAAGATGAAATTTCAGAGGGAATAGGTATAAGACAAAGAGCAGGAATAGGCCTGAGCGCGTCCCTCCAACCGCCGTGTCCAGCGCGCAGCCCCTCGAGCGCAGGGACAGGGTCCTGCAAGCAGGCAGCAAGCCGGGCAGGGCGACCTCCCGGGCACCGCACCCTAGCATGGCGCGGCAAGCTTCCTTGCAGGTGGGGGGCCCTCGCTGAAAAGGCTTCCTCGTCGGGAAGACAATGGTAAGCTGGTGCATCCCTCCCCACAGCTTCACACGAAACGGAGGAAGAGGCGGCCCCACAGGCGCCGCGGGGCTCAGCACCCCTCTGGCAGCAGCCTCCGCGGGACGCGGGCCTGGGCCCCTGGGCCAAGCGGCAGGTCTTGGCCAAGGGATGGACGCTGCCCAGCACACCCTCCGCCTGGGCACCCTCGGCCAGACAACGAGGTGCTGGCTTCACTTTCACGCAGGCTCCAGCAGCGCAGAAGGATTGAGACCACACGGGCTGCTTTTTTATTGTTTGGGAATTTTTTCCCTTTTTCTTTTTAAAACCAGTAGAGAGGTAGCTATGAAAACCCCACATATTTGGGAGTATCTCAGGAACCCTTGGGTTAAACAAAATCACGGGAAATTAAAAAATACTTGGAACAGGGCCTCCCCGGTGGCGCAGCGGTTGAGCGCTGGGTTGCGAAGCTGCCCGCAGCCTCTGTGGTGCCTGTTCGATCCCCGGCTGCTCCCCGGCCACCGGAGGAGGGTCCCGCATGGCGCACAGACCCCTCCTGCCGCCCGCTGCTCCCCTCAGCAGTGTCCTTCGGTCCTTCTGCCTGCTCTGCTCCCCGCTCTGGCTCTGGTGAATCCTCTCACCCTCCCGCGCTCCTGACTGTACCCAGTGCTTGTGTAAACAAACAAACAAACAAATAAAAATGCCTCTAAAAAAATAAAAATACGAAAATAAAAAAACTCCTCGGGCAGCCAGGAGCAGCCGGGCAGCCAGCTGGGCGGCAGGCAGCCCGCAGGGCCTGTGGGGGGCAGTGAAGCATCTGTGTGAGGGCGGGAGGACTCCGAGCCTGTGCCTGCTGCTTCGCCAACCCCCTCCACACCCCAGCCACGGCCCCAGGGTCGTCCTCGCCCGACCTGGACACCAGAACCACCACGGCACAGCA